CCTCTCAAAGATGCTCTTTCATGCACAGATATTTGCTTGAATCTCAAAGCAGAGATCAGAAGAATAAATCCCACAGAAATATAAATCAATAATCCTCCCCAAACCTAAACGTGGTAACACTTTAAATATTCATGTTCTCATTGTATTTAGCTAAAGGGAAAGTATCTAAACACTGCTGCACAGCCCTTTAAAGTTTGGGGGACTTTTTTTTTAAATGTTTTGCCAGAAAAATGTATGAATGTCCAGATATTTTTGAGTGCAGTACCAATATAAAATATATATATTTAAGATAAATAGATAGTGCAGGTATTTGGGCATTTGCTATCACTGCAGTGGGAAATGTGAATATTATCTCTGATTTCTCTCTATATACTAGAAGTCTTAAGGTTCAGCTTCATAATTTTAGGCTGTATGGTTTGTGTTAGACCTGTTTAATTTCTGAACTGCAATGCAAGCAACCCCTCAGAGGAGAAGCAGCTGGTGAAGCTGATGAAGGTCAGTGGAGAATTTTTCTGTGCTGGGGTCCTGAGTTTTCTCTTCCCTTTAGAAATATCCCCATGGATTGGCCAGAAATGGTGACAGACCTTCTAAGAGTCCTTCTCCTCATTTGCACATCATAACTCTCACTGACATTCCTACACAGTGCAGAGACTGCAGAAATTTGAGATGTTTGCTCATCCCTGACTCAGGGAAGTTCATTCACTCATGACAATAAAATCTAAAGAGTTATATGAAGAAAAAGCTATTCATAATAAAATTCAAAAGAGGAGCTTTAGGTGGACATGGGTTCTATTTCAGGATCTACTGAACAGTTTGGAGAATTAAGACAATACAAATGTATTTAATGAATAGAATCTCATTATATGAAACTTATACATTTGGAGACTTAATGCCTTAAATAATGGCAAAGTGCTAGCAAAAAGAAGTTGCAATTTTTTGGTTGTATTTTTAACCCCAGTACATATTTTGTTGCTTCACTACAAGTCCTGAGAAAAATATTTTATAAGTACTTCATAAAGAAATGTCTTCAAGTGCATTTGGGTGTTGAACACCAAAATTTGAGGAGAGAAGGTGTGTTTCTAAGGGACTGTTTCCAAATGCTCATACTTAAAATAGTATTTTGACAAAATGTCAAATAATCAGAAAAATACATTGCCACTTACCACTGTACACCACCATGGACATAGACACCAGCAGAATTACAATCATTTTTTGTTTAATCCAAAGACAAGAAAAAAGTCACACAGCAGACTGATGTGCCTGGTGAGTCAAGTAAAATATTAGACAGAATGTTATCTCTTCAATCTGAGAGTGGCAAGACATCATCTTGGGAAATCATTCTTTTGTAGCCTGGATATATTTCTGCTTGATAAAATTCAGTTCTTACCCTTATCATAGTAAATGCACAAATTACAGGAATGATGAGCCTTATATATCCTTATTTTACCAATGTTGTCTAAAAGTCTGACTAACAATATTTATTTTGGCATTGCTCTGAGTTAACAGACTCAGCTGCCATTTAGCAATAAAATGGTGCACTTGCAGTTTCTTTTGTTTTGCAAACAGTTTTCACATCTTCCTTCATCTCATACAATGGTCAAACAATTCTTATGTTCAAATGAAGATATTGTGAAACACTGTGTAAATGAAGTTATTCTGATGTTACATCTATGGAATTCAGTTTATCCACAATCCATTAAATTTGTTTCAAATCACAAAAAATTGTAGTCAAACATTTATTCTAATCTATGTTGAGACTCATCTAATATATCATAATTTTTCCTAATGAGAAATATGATGTTATTTGGAGATCTTCAAGAAATGTGTGTAAAAAATTCTTCTCAATGTGTTGTACCAGTATTCATTAAATGGAAGATGACAGATTGGTTTTTAACTACAGTCATAAATTACTTTAAGTTTAGAACAAGTCAGGCATATGGCTTTTTACAGCCAAAGAAATGAACACACATGTATATGTACCTGCTTATTATTATTTGCTTTTCTGAACTCAAATATGGAATTAATTTCTATTAGAAAATATTGTAATATTTTATCAGGAAGTGAGATTATAAATCTAACAGCTCTAAATATTTATAGTCTATTTTCCCAAATCTCTTGCCTATATTTTTGTCTATTACTCCAAAGTCACAAATAGCTTATTCTACATTGTTTTCTTCTTGCTTCCCTTATTATAGAGAACATCCAGAAAAACTTACCTTGAGGGATATTATCCCAAAGCAGCTGGATGGAAGACAAATGAATATCAGCAAAGCCAGTACTAACTTATTTATACCCACTTGGATATAGAACTCACCCATGTGATCCCTTCCTTTATCAAACCCACTTCAACATTTATTAATTAATTCTGCCATGAGATTCCTTGGAGTCTTTATGCCCAGTGTATCTGTAATATGGCTCCAGCCATGTAAAGGATCTATACTGAGAAGTCTGTTCTGCAGGTGCCTTCACCATATAATAACTTTCCCTAATACTCTTGGCTGTAATTAAATAACAGTCATCCCATTGTTATTAATCACTCCCAAAATCTCTTGGGCATGTGAATGTGGCTTTAATGGCTTAGCAAGAGGTAGTGTTTGGTGATGAAAGATGAGTGAGAGTTTACACAGCTTTAAACACTGGCATTCCTCAGGGTTGGGGAGTCTTCTTTAATCTATCCGTGGTGGCTCTGATCCAAGGCTGAGTGAAATGCAGGAGAAGGTTCAGTGAGCTTGGGGCAGGCTGCCTTTCATAGGAAGGTGTGCTTTCTGCCAGGGCCAGACACAGCTACCCTTCATAGAGTCCATCAACAGAGACAAACTGCCCACTGAACTGCAGCATGGAGAAGTGAGAAGTCTGACAATTGGGAATTGTAAAAATTCTTACATGAGAAAAAGGCCCTTTGACTCTGTGACCTACAAGGTTTTCAGGAAAAAAGGTTTTCATGGTCATCTGTAAAATCTTCATGGAGAAGCTGTTGATATCTGAGCTGGATGTGCCTGGGGAGGTGATTGAAAATGGACTGCTGGGGCACCAAGGGTGGTGGCCAGTGGCACACCAGTGCCTGGTGGTGCATTCCAGCAGCCAGTGCTGGATCCAGCCCTGCCTGGCATCTCCATGAATGGCCTGGATGATGGGGCAGAATGGATCCTCAGAGGGCTGGTAGGTGACACTCAATGGGATGAGTGACTGTCATTTCAAAGGGTCACTCTGCCATCCAGGACCTCAACAGGAGCTCCATGAAGTTCAACAAGAAGTGTCAAGTCCTGCACCTGGAGAGGTGCAGCCTCATACACCAAGATGTGCTGGTGGCCACCTATCTGGGAAGCAGCTTGCTAGAAAAGGACCTGGGGTCCTGCTGGACACAGGGTTGAACAGGAGTGAGAGGTGTGCCCTTGCAGCAGAGAGGGCTCAGCATGCCCTGCATTGGGCACAGTGCTGCCTGCAGGTGGAAGGAGGGGTCCTGCCCCTCTACTCTGCACTGCTGAGGCCACATCTGCAGGGCTGTGTCCAGTTCTGGGCTTCCCAGTATAGGACAGACATGGAAAACTTGGGACAGTTCAGAGAAGGGGCACAGAGATGATGAAGGGACTATCTCTCATGAGGAGGGGACAAGAGAGCTGGGACTCTTCCCTAGAGGAGCCTTGGGGGATCTCATCAATCCCTTGGGGGATCTCATCAATCCCTTGGGGGATCTCATCAATCCAGTGAACACCTGAGGGGAGGGTGCAAAGGGGACAGAGCCAGTCTCTGTCCAGCAGGGCCCAGTGACACAACAAGAGACAGTGGGCACAGGCTGAGGCTGCTGCAACAGGGTGAGATCTCCCACAGCATGGCAGTGCCATGTGATGGCTCTTCTTGAGCTTCATGAAGTTCTTGTTGGCCCATTTCTTCAGGCTGTTGAGGTTCTGGATAGCAGCATGTTGCATTCCCAGCACATGCTCACTGTATTAACATTTATTCCACTGGCCTAACTTTCAATATCTGCTGAAATTGGTACCACTCCAATCTATCCTGCTCTCTGACATGACAGAAGTTCTTCTCTCACACTATTGAGCACAACAGCAAAATGTATTTTGGAAGAGAACTCCTGCATCCCACCTGTCCCTGGGGTCAGCACTGCTTATATTGTCACTTTCCTCCTTGGCTTTGCCTTTGAACATCTCCCTTCAGTGAAACATCAATGTGCAGCAGCTGTAGTGCAAATAAACTTCTTATTTAAAGACAGTATTAATGGCTTGATGACATACTCTGTAGCATAATGCACAGAAAACTATGGGATCATGTAATTGATTTGGTTATTCTTTCATTTTTTTCTAGAACTGGTTTTTCATTCACCAGACTTGCATACCAAGGAAATGAAAGCTGGGTTGGAAGGGGCCCTGAGCAACCTGATCTGGTGAGGTTGGAAGTAGAAAGTCTTTAAGGTCCCTTGCAACCCAACCCATTCTATAATTCCATGTTTCTGTGAATCCTGGTGAGCTCACACAAATACATCTCAAAGTACAAGAGATCCTGTCACTTCCTGGGTTGACACTGCACAACAGGAACTGCTAAAGTAATGGAAGTTTTTGATTTAGAAGGTAATCTGCATGTGTTTAACACCAGAGAGTTCTGCTTGTCTTCAGTATTTCAGGTTGCTTTTAAATTACTTTGCATTTGTTAATTTTGATTACTTTGTCTCAAATGTCAATAAAATAAATAGAAACTATTTGCATTCATTAGCCAGCCATGTAAATATCCTTTATAAAATAAGATTTTTAAAAGACTTTCAATGTTTTTATTGCAGCTACATCACTTGTATAAAAATCTCTGGTTTTTAGACATTATTTTTACAATGACTTGGAGGAGGAGACATTTCTAGATTAACATCTGGTTAATAGCTTGTCTGATTTCAAATATTTACAAATAACATGTTGCTTTCTGATTTTTACACCGAGAAATCAGAAAGAAAACTAAAACTGCCACCAGTCTTCCAACTTGCAGCAAAATTTCTCAGTGCTCTAAAGTGATGTACAGATGTTTTTAAGGCATTTTTGCTTTAATGCTGGAAGAACACAAGAAAATATTAGTTAGAAGAGGTTTTACAAGAAAATATTAAAACATGCATGAAGGCAAAATAATTTGTTTAATCCTTTAAAAATCATTATCAGATAAAATAGCTATCTGATGACAGACAGCAAATATTCTGTGGATATGCAAAAATCTTTTTTATCTTTATGACAAGGTATGTAGAGATGTAGAGATATAAAGTGAAAATGTACTTACTGTGGGAGTAAGCAACTCTTTTGACTCTTTCGCAGACATAACTTGCATTTTTCACAAACCAGGAATAGTATTCAACACAGTATCTGAGGATGGAGTTACAGATAGGAGATGCAGTTAAAGATGAGAGGCTTGCTGTCTTTCACAAGGAGAGGGACTTTGGACAAGGGCATGGAGTGATAAGGTGAGGAGGAATGGCTTTGGGCTGAAAGAGGGCAGGTTCAGATTAAATATTAGGTAGAAATTCTTTACTGAGAGGGTGGTGAGACACTGGCACAAGTTGCCCAGAGAAGCTGTGGGTGCCCCATCCCTGAAAGTGTTCAAGGTCAGGTTGGATTGGGCTTGGAGCAGCCTGGTCCAGTGGAAGGTGTCCCTGCCCATGGCAGCGGGGTTGGAATAAATGGTCTTTAGATCCCCTCCAACTCAAACCAATCTATAATTCCATGATAAGCACAGAATATCATGCTGCTATTACTAAATATGGAAATAAAAAGCTAGATTCCAACCTCAGTGATGCCATTAGATGTTTGGAAAGATGCAGCTGGCTTTTTTCCCTTAGCTGGAATACTGAAGCCAGATCAGGTACTGATCAGTGCACTGGGACACATTTGGATCTCAGCCAGTGGCCACAGACCCTCCAAAATAATCATTGGTGATTGAAAATTGTCATTTGGGAACAAAAAGCCTGAAGGAGTATTTTAAGCAGACAGAGAAAGAAAAAATAGTGCCAGGTTTTACCTCATGGCTTCCTTTCTGGAATATCTTCTCTGACCAACACAGAGGCACAGCTGAAAGAACCTACAGAGCTCCATCACACAGGGGTTGATCTTCTGCACCACAAGGGTGACAGGAGGGGAGGTGACACGGGGCTCTCTGAGCATCGCCTGTGGGCACCCTGAGGACAAAACACAGCTCTGAGCTGGCCCAAAGGCTTGTGCCACCACATCTCCTGCTCTGCCTTGTCTGGGATATGGTCTCCAAAGAAATGGCTTCCCTACTCCAACAAATAAGGGATATCCCTGAAAATGCTATTCTGGGGCGGAAGGAAGGAGACGAAAGAAGTGGCAGAAGGAAGTGGTGGAAGGAAGGAAGGAAAGGAACGAAAGGGAAGGAAGGAAGGAAGGAAGTGGCGGAAGGAAGGAAGTGGCGGAAGGAAGGAAGTGGCGGAAGGAAGGAAGTGGCGGAAGGAAGTGGCGGAAGGAAGTGGCGGAAGTGGCGGAAGTGGCGGAAGTGGCGGAAGTGGCGGAAGTGGCGGAAGTGGCGGAAGTGGCGGAAGTGGCGGAAGGAAGGAAGGAAGGAAGGAAGGAAAGAAAGAAAGAAAGAAAGAAAGAAAGAAAGAAAGAAAGAAAGAAAGAAAGAAAGAAAGAGAAAAAGAGAAAAAGAAAGAAAGAAAGAAAAGTGAGGGCAGCTATGGTGTGATTGTCAACTATTTTTTCCATTTTTGTGTAAGTAGCAGCAGGCTTTGGCCATGTGTGGATAACCTACCTTACCTGCTGAGTATAATCCCCTTAGACAGTGTAATTGCATTTCCAGGTTCACATGTCTCACACACTTTATAGCTCTGGGCAATGCTATGTTATGTGATAGCAGAGGTTATGAAGGTTAAATTTGGACTAATGAAGTTCTGTTGAAATAAGCTTGAGTCATCTAGTGCCGACAAGAAATTTAATATAAAATGGCATTCTTGGGCAGGAGGAAAATCAAGGCTATACCAACCTGAAAGAGAAACTATTTTCATTGCTATGAAACTATTTCTCTGCTGGCAGTGCTTGACCAAGATAGCAGGAGTATGTGAGGAGTAGGGCACAGGCACTGGCAGCTCCCAAACTCACAGGCTGCTCTGAAGGCCAGCTCTGTCAAAGGCACTACACTAATATCAGGTGAAATTAGCAGAGATGGGCAAGAGGGAGACCCACTTTTCTTCACCCCAGCAATTTCACATAAATGTCATTAGGCTTTGTCCACTTAATAGCATTTGACACACCTTGATATTCTCTTACATGAAGTAAATGAAAAATTAATGATTCCTTGCTTAAGTAAACACACTTCATTTTAATAACCAAATACCAGAGCATGGGACAATGAAGCTTTAAAATAAGTTGTCCCTGAAAAGTAATGTTAAAATTGATGAGAAATAATAAAGTTGATGAATAATTAAAAGGCCTCCCTCCTACAAATTTCAGCCTCCACAGAAGTGGGTCCTCCTATCCTGCCAACCAGGTATTAAATGCTTTTCTCAAGCTATGTGTTTTGCCGGAAGAAATATACTTTTATCTAGCTGCAAATTGAACGTTGGCAATTTCAATTTGAAATCATCTATGTGGGAAAGAGAAGTCAAACAAAAATGCTGAAAGCTAAGGACATTGATTTGGTTTCATTTTTGACAATCACTTTAAATTAAGACTGTATTTGCATAATACTGTATTTATTTAATGATGAAATAATTTTTCAATTAATTTTCTATTTAATTTTTTTGATTGCATAGTATATTCACATCATATCATTGAAATTTAAATTTTCACCCATTCATAGTAATGCTTTATACCTCTTCTGTAATAAATTTCTACTGTGAAATGTATTTTTTTGTGTTCAAGGCATAAGCTCATAAAGATAAATAAAAGTAGGAATTTATTTCAGAACTTTCTTTTCTAAAAATTCTCTTTCTTAAGAGATTGAATTAGTCAAGAGACCTGAAAAGGCAAGAACCACAGCTGCTGTGCAGAGATTTCCTCCCGTGTGTTTCAAATTGCCACATTATTGTCAGGGGCAGTGAAGTGTCCAACTTTTGCAATGAACAGACAGCTCTTTTATTAATTCAATATCACATCCCTGTGACACTGAGATTTAATCTTTGTGCCATCCCTGTGGCACAAAGATTAAATTTTGCTGCCAGTGAAGACCAATGTTACGGTTCTTGTGAATGATTCAGACTCAAAATATCCCTCCCTGCATGCTCTAATATGCACATTTACATCTTTTATTAGTTGGCACTCACTTCTGTGATTAAAGAAATGAATTATTGGAATAATGAGTCATCCCTCAGAACAATGTGGGTGCCCTTTCTTACTTAAGGATCCCCCTGCTGGATTTATTTCCCCAAATGTGTGATTGTTAGAACCAGGCAGGCAGCCTGTGCCTCCATGGCTTCTCACAGAGAGGCATTTGGTGACTCCAATTCACCCATCTCACTGAAATCCATATTTTCCAGCCTTTTCAAAGCATCCTAGGTTCTCCAGGGTATACAGTGTTGCACACCAGAGGAGGACTCTGGTGTTTGGAGCTCTTTAAACAGAAGTAAGATGAGAGAAAAATAAATCTGATTTCAGAATTAAATAGCATTGTAAGAGCTAAAAAGATGACCATGAAAATGAAAGTGATTTGCCCAGCATTTTAGTTCCTTAGCCTTTTCTGGTTTTATCTAAAATATCAAGCCTAAAGGATATTGAAGACCCCTGGAGGTCAGTCTGATATCTTTGCTCTACCCAGCATCTCTGCTTCTCCTAGACAGTCACCACACAGAAACACAAGCAGATGAGTTCTGAGCTTTCATGAAAATCTAGCTGATGATGATCCTTTTTTAGCTGAGGAAGTAGTTTGCAGTATTGTAAATTCAGAACAATTCTGGGGGTTTCTTGTGCCATGAGCTGGTTTCATCCTTTTATTTATGATGAGATTTAAAGCATTTTTTTTAATGACTTTTAAGAATTAATTCTCCAATAACCCATCTATGCTAAAATTGACCCACAGAGTGCCTATGTTAATTCTATCACCACAATATAATCTATGTTTTGAATTTGCAGTTGTGTATAATTCACAAGCAAATGGGAAGCAGTCCCTTGGCCATTTGGGGTGGTTTACATACATAAACTATCACGAGGTAATTAGCCATGTATGTTTTTTCTGCATGGGAATGTTTCTATCTTGCATGACTTGCAAACACACTGCTGTTTCTGCTGCATTTACTCACTGGTAGCTGAGTACAGTTTCAGTGTCACACCAGGTCGGTAGGAAGGTGGCACAGACAGTACTGTGGAGGGCAAATCTGGGGGGAGGCAAAAGAACAGAACTTGCTTTGACACCTTCAAACAAAAAGGCAGGTTGATTGAAGGAGCAGCAGAAAAGAATAAAAAAACTAACCCTGAACTGACAGTTCATTAATAAACATTTACATGGACAGTGGTGCAGAAACACATTATCAGTCATCTTTTTCTATATATTACTTTCTATTTCATAAATGTGCCAAATGACGCACTTTGCTGCTACCCCAGATCAGTCTTACCTGGCTCTGTTTGCATCACTTTGCTGGCTTCTTGTGGAGACACTGTCTGCACCCAAAACATGGACGTGGCAGCTGTGGGAACAGAGACACCCTTCCTTTTATTCATTATTTATCTGTCTACTGAGAAGAATTGCTAGGTATGAGACAGCTCAACAGCCAGAGTCCCTCACCCAGTACTGCCCGTGACATATAAAAATGCCAGGATGAAATAGGATGGACAAAATCTTTACTTGAATAGAACTTGAATAGCCTGTGGTCTAGGGAAGGGCAGGGCTTCAAAAAGGCATCAAGAAGGCAAAATAAGCATTTCTATATTGCTTTTTCACAGGTCTGCTCACCAAATTTGGAACTAAATGCGAGAGAAGATCCAGGTGGCAGAGGTGTTTGTGGGAAGCAAGATCAGGTTTTCCCCCTAAAGATAAGAAACTACAGGATGGAACCTACAGCTGATTTTGACATTTCTGCAATAAAGTAATGAACTGACTGGTGACCCAGAGTGGGTGTCCCTGAAGGGCTCTCCAACCTCCCCTCAGAGACACTTGGCCAAACCCCAGAGCAGTGGGCTAGGGCAGGTTCAGGGCTCCTGGCCATACTCACTGGGGCTGGGCTGCGGGGCTGGTGATGGGGCCAGGCTGCCCCCAGGGCTCAGGGGGGGTCTGGCCATGCCCTGGGGCCTGGGAGCATCCACGTGGGGTGATGGAAACCACGAGCCTTTGGCTCCAGCTGTCCTTGGCCACAGCGGGAGCTTCGTGGTGGGCATTCCCCCTCCTTTCTGGGCCAGAGGGATCCGGGTAGCTGGAGAAGCAAGAGACACAGAGAAAGGGCACCAGCAACTGCCACAGACTGGGGGAGAATAATATCTAAAATACACCCAGGAAATGGCCATCTACCCCTTGAGTGCTTCTCTGGCACATTGAGCAGGCACTTCTCTGTTTCGTTTTAAATATGGAAATACAGGGAGTTCCAATAATGTTTGAAATTTTAATTGAGAACATTTTAATGTGTGAGTTTTCATAAACAAAGAAAGAAACTGAAATTTTCCTGCAGGGTTTTGTTTTTTTCTTGACATAATATGTGCTTAATTTCCTGAACTGCTCCTCTACAGTAGAAAGGGAGAAAGGTTTTGTCTGTCTGCAAGGTGAGCAGGCAGGTACTGGAGGGCAGATGCTGCAGTTTGAGAACTGACACTTGTGGATATGAGAGATAACAAAGGTGGGCATGTGGTTTAGGAAATTAAAAATATTTATAAAGGACAGCAGACTGCCTACAGGAAATGCAGGCATTTTGTAGGAGACAGATGCAGCTGCAGTGACAAGGACGTACGAAGTCAAGGTCAGAATTTCTATTGATTTCTACTACAAGCTAGCAGATGCAAAGCCTTGCTTTTGGCTTCCAAAATGGGGCAGAGCACTTTTCTATCTTGTAGCCCTGCAGTAAAGCTAAATGTACTAAAGTTTATGAAATGCTCAAGTACAACTGAATGTCATATAAAGAAATAGAGAATAATACAGGAAAAATCCATAGAAAATAAGAGGAAATAGTTTAAATAATCTTATTTTTTAGTTTGAAACCAACAACCAGTTTTTCTCTTCTTCCCTGCCTCTTTAGAAAACTTATTTTTTCTGGAAAAATGGCTTTTCACAAGAGTTTCTCTATCCTCCAGCTCTTCAATGCACTACTGGCATCATTTGGTGATTCAGAGAAATTTTATGCTACTCTTTATTTGGAGTTAACATCACTTGTCAAGACTTTAATCAAGGGGAACACAAATTTGGGTCTGACAATATTTGCTCACATTTAAATGTCCACACATGTTCTGCTGATGAATCCAGTGTCTTGTTTGGGTCTTCCTGCAACTTCACAAAACTTGAGAAAATCAAATCCAGGTCTTGGAGGTATGAGAAGACAAGGTTAGAGTATTCACTATCCACTGCATATTGTGTGAGAAAAAGGGAAGAAATCAGATTCTGCTACCATAGTAGCAGCTGTTGTTTCTAATTAAAGGGGGTTTTGGCCAAGTGTCCTTTTTTTTTTTTCGTTTTAAAAGGAGAAACACCCCACAGCTTTCAGCACAACTTGCCACTGATTTCAGTCTGCCTGCATTAATCTGTCCTTGAAAATGGGAGATAGTGATGGGCAACAGTGAAAGGTGAGCACCTGAAGTGCAGCTCAAACTGGCAAAGCAGTTTTGTGTGGAGGAGCCACACAGGACCATGAGTGAATGTGTTCACCTGCACTCTGAATGTAACTCATGTAGGAGGTAATTTGTGCTGAGAGCTATGGAAGGCACCCAGTTAGATTTAAGAGCACTGGAGACCCTCCCCAGCCCAATGCTGAATTCTCTAAAAGCTCTCATCCCAGCAGGTTTTGTTTGTTCCTCCACCAGAAGACCTTGTAACAAATAATTTAAAGATTTGTAAAATTTACTTACATTTATAATTACTGTATTAAATTCTCAACAATATAAAATATTATTCTAACTATAACCAAATACATAATATTATGCAAATATATAAGCAATAATAAGAAATAAAATAATATTTATAGTAGTGGAACTGAGGATGGAGTACTCATTGCAAGAGCAATATGGACATGATTTTCACTGTGATTCCTGTTTCCTTTTATTGCCCAGGATGTACTTACCCAGGTCAGATGATGTGTTACTGGAAAATGTGTAATTAATAACAGGAGACTTATCTAGTATTTCCAAAAAATCAGACAGATTTTTCCCTGCAAATAGAAATGCTTACAAATATCAACAAAGGTTTGTTTCCAGTATAAGTCATCACTGAGGAAAACTAGGGCAATATTGTTGGGTGGAATGATTTTCATTTTTACCTGTCTGCCCTGCCATCACACAGATGTAGATACAATCAGAGTCATTGCTCTGACGCACTGAAAAGCAAAAATCATAAAAGAGAACATTGTTACCAGTTTTCCTTATGTGGAATTATCTTAAACAGTTGAAAACACAAACAGAAAATGGCATGTGGCTATGGCAGCTGACCAAATATGTTCTTTCTGATCTAATTTTTGACAAAAATCTCAAACTACCATCAAATCCAAATGTTAGTATCTTCAGGGAAAAACTTCTATCTAATTAAAATTCTAAATTACAAGCATTTTTATATGGAAAAAAATCTTCAGATAAAATAGCCCATACTTATTCTCTGTGAATCAGAATTGCTCAAATATCAGTATGTAATAATAATTCTCAAACCCACCAATTTTAGTAATTAATTATAAAACATTCAAACAACATAATGTAGAAACAGGTACATCTCTATATTACACACATTCAAATTATATATATATATCTTGTTCCATGTGTTGCAAGAAAAATGTTGTTGAGTAAGAGCAATAGGCTTTTATCTACATTTTTATGGTTGTTTTCATGCCAGAAGTAAATGATAAGACAATGATAAATGTTCAAAGAAAATGCAAACCTGAGAGAATAGAAGTGGATTTGAAAATTTCTGTGAGATAACTGGTGGAGTTTCCAATGATATCAACAAGTAGAGCTGTAAAATCTAGACAACAAATAGAGAAAGTTTATTATTGAAAACATATCCTATCATGTATTCCAAGTCAAAAATGCAGTCTTATGTGATGATATTTTAGATATATGCTCATACATGACAAAGGTTAAAATATTTTAAAGGTTAAAATATTTTGCTGGAGTGAACTGAAGAAACCACAAGAATACTGCAGAAGTATATTTCAAAGATGTATCCAAAATGACATCAGTGTGTCTAAAAGCAAACTTAAATGGAATTTATCTGTTCCAGAGAACATTTTAGAGTAATGCTCTATTTAGTCTGCTTAAATGTAGAAGGAGACCTGAAGCCTGCAGGCTTTCCCTGCTGTAATTGCCTGTCTGCTGTGTGGGACCTTCTAATAGGCATTGGATTTTTTCCTCTGGGATCTGCTTCAGACATCCTGATGATTCAGATGTCAGCCCAAGAAATGGCTGGTGGTGTTTCAGTGGTATTTCCTAGCAGTAAAAGGTCACTGTTCTCACTTAGGGAGTGATGGACCTGAGACCTGCATTTTTACTGCTTTGGAGAATGCTCCAATCCCCAAGATATTCTGGGACTGCAGCACAAAAATTAAAGTTTCTCCGCTATTTTCCAAGGCAAACTGGGTAGTTATAGTAGAGGTGGCCTTTGAGTCCTAGCAAAACACAACTATTGTACTTGAATTTCTGTACAGAGGCTTTGCCCCAGAGGTCCCGGTTGTCCTTGATGGGCTGCAGCTGCCATGTCCTTAATTGGGCTGCAGCTGTGACCAATGAAGATAACTGGGATAAAAGGGGTGGGTTAGCCAGTCAGGGAGAGCCTTGGAGGAGCCCTGAGCTGAGAGAGAACAGCCTGCAGAAGAAGGAGTCGGTGCTGTGAAGATCTGCAGCCATAAGAATGCACCGAGGAGGTATGGGACTTTGGAAATCTGATAACAACAGTATGGGACTCTAGAAATGGAACAACAATGGGTAGTTATCCATAAAGGCTTGTGAGATGTGTGGTCCAGAGAAAGCCATGAAAGCCACTGTGGCTTGTGCAGGGTCCCCACGTGTGGCATAGAGGGTGTGGAGCCTGGTCTGTAGCTGCTGATCTACTCTTGATGCCCTGCATTAACCAGCTGAAGAATCCAAACATTCAGATGCCTCCTGAAATGTTAAACTCTGTGAAATCAGGGGTGTGAATGAGGATTTTAGGTGAAGGGTTTGCCCAACAGTATTCTGTAGTCCATTCAACAGTTCTATGAGTATGTTAGTGCTTGCTTTTCCCTTCTCTTGGGCTCTTTGAGGTTACTGGATGGAGGAGTGTGCCTCTTGTTGATGGAGTGACAGAACTATCCTTTGTCCCCTTAAAAGGAAAGAAACCCAGAAGTTTCTCTCCTCCATTAAGTGAAAAGATACCTCATAGGACCCAGGAGACTTCACCTCAAACTTAAAGATAGCTAATAAGACAGAAGCCAAAAAGTCTTGCCTGGGCAATTAACTAGAAAAGGATGTGAATAAAGATACCAAGGTCTTTTGTAAAATGTTTTACCAGGGGCAAGAACATCTAGCACCTGCCTCGGTTTTTCTGTTTGTTATTTTGCCTTTTATTAAACCTTTTTGTTTCTAACACTGCAACAGAAGCCATCTTGCTGATTTTTATGCCTCCAAGGGCTGCTGAACTATCTTGGGTGTGTTATGAGTCTCTGAGAGCTTATTAGACCTAGCTCAAAGAAGTTACTATAACAACTGGAAGTTTCTCTGTTGGTGCAGAGAAGCCCTTGTTCATCTCCTCTGGGTTTTCTCAGGAGAGAAAAAGTGTCCAAGGTGAGGTACCACACATTGCTGGTTGTCTCTCCTGTGCTGCAATTTGTATTTCCAAGGAGGAAAGGGAGGCCTTTTGCCAGTCAAACCACACCAGTCACTTGACTGATGGCTCCATCCCAGACTGGCTGCAGCCAACTGAGGCTCTGTGGACTTAGAGCAGCCACTCCTTGTGAGTTATGGGTGTTGGCCTCAGTGTGGTGCTGGAAATCATAAGGATGAAGTCTGCAGAATTCAGACTACAGCCCTCAGCTCCAAAGGAAATAATTCAGCTTAAGCACATGCAATTGCCAACCTCTTTTGTGTACCCACCTGTCAAGTCATTTGTCACATTATTCAAACAGTAGCAGTAGTGCACAGGGAACTTGCCAGGGTCAATATTTTTTGCATTAGAGACTGGAGGGAGAGACAGAGAAAAAAAAAAAAAATCAGTGTGCTGTGGCACAGGCTGTGGGAGAGAAGCTGCTCCAGAGCTGAGCAAAGCCAACACTCACTGTTGTAAATGGTGACTGACACTTTGTGGAAGGCAAAGGAGCTGTAAGAGGTGATGCTCAGCAAAGAGAAGAGTTTCTTGGTACCTGCAGAAACACAAGCCCATGCTATTATTGCTGGGAATAAATAGTGAGAACAGCATGTTTTGACTCTGCTCATTTAGTGTCTAAAGGATTCCCAAGGTGCTAGTATGATACAGCTGCCTCACACTCAGTCCATTCTCATTTCCACTGAAGGAAGGATCATTTGCATTGCTTCTTCCTTTTTATTTTGTTTTTCTTTTAATTGAAATGTACACTAGATTAGAAAGTGCTTTTGAAAGGCATCCCACAAGTAATTATATTGTGTCTATATATAAACCCACACTAATTTCCGAGTTCTCTGGGGTAGACAGCCATCTGCATGACAAATGCACAGAGGTAACATGCTCCTAGAAGCAACTCTGGAGGCTGCCAGCACCTGTAGTGCCTTTTCTCCTGCTCTGCTGGGCTGGCAGCTGTGACCTGCCCAGCTGTGTCCCCTTACCTCTGAGTGCAGTGCTCAGCATCCCATTCACCAGCTCTGTCAGGTTAATAGCAGCCAGGTCCAGGGACTTTGCAGGCAGCTCTGAAAGAAAAGGGGAGCATGAAGGCAAAAGGAAACAGCTGTGCATCCACTGCTCATATGTGCTAGCAATCTGCCAGAACAGGAAAACCAAAAAGAGCAGGTTATGTACATTTGGGGTGTACCAAAAAACACTGATGGGAAAGTAAAATTCCACCACGGAGATGAGTCTAGGAAATAGAAGATACAGCAACAGTGGAGTGGTGAGCCAAAATTCTGCCAGCTGTGCCCTTGAGCATGGCCTTGAGCAGCTGCAGGACCCTGCCAGCCCTGGCATGCTGGTGCCCTCCCCTGCTGGGCAATGGGTGTTTGCTGCCAACAGAGCAGCAGATCTCACCATGCAGGTCACAAAAGGCAGAGAAAGTGCCTAGGAAAGGTTCCACCTTCCCCAAACCTGCATGAAAATATAGATTTTTTTTGTTTTCAGCTACATTGATGGCTATACTGCTTGCTACAACAGGAAAATTTTGTTGTAGCCAAATCACTCTTTTTACCTTAATGTGTTTTATTTCTGTTGTTGTTGCTTATTTGTTTTTCCCCCAAGTCTTTTCAAAGATTTTTTTTTTTTTGCTTCCCTCCCACAAAGTGATGCAGAAGCAGAGCAGTGCAGTGTCTGTGTGAGGGAGGAAGGTGTGTGTGAGCATGACAGAGAGAGGAAGAACAGAGCAGGACAGAAAAAGAAGCACAGAAAGCTGAGATGTGAGCAAAATTGAATTTGGGGAGAAATGCAATTTTCCAATGACATCAGTGCTATTTATAACCAGTTTGAAGCCAAGCTGCACCCCAGGGCTGAGAGCAGCACTCGTCCACAGCATGGAAGAGAAAAAGGGAAAAACAAAAGGGAATGAAGAGCTGGGAAGGAGAGAAAGGAAAAAGAGCAGATTTTGGGAAGCACAGTTGTTAACATGGCCAGGGACTGGATTGGGTGGGCTGGGGCTCACAGACTCTGCAGGAGCAGGGTCCATCTGCTGCCCCCTCCATGCCCAGCACCTCCCAGTGCCATTAACCCCCTGCCTCTGGGGCCCCTGATGTGCTGCCTGTTACCTGCAGTAGCCAGCACTGCCAGTTGCTTCTCTTTCTTGCTTTCTTTTCTTAGGCACGAAGCTGCGAAGTGAAGAAAGAGACTGAGAAACAATTTTCCCTGTTGAACTCGCCCCTCAATAATGAAAATAAAAATATTATAGCAAATATTTGTAGAGGTCTTCACTGGGCTTGCACCAAGAATTTGCTGCGAGGTACAGAGTAAAATAAAGCCAAATCCAAACAAATCTTCCCTTCTCTGTGCATGTTTGTTAATCAGAGCAGTCATGCAATTGAGGACTGTCCTCAAGAGCTGTGTTGCAGGAGGAATGGGCTGAAACTGGGCTCAGGAGATTGGACTGGGTTTCTGGGATCACTTGGTGACCAGCTGAGGTGCACAGCAGTAAATGAGAGATTGCAGGACAAGTTGAAGATATGTATTTGAGATTTAGGTTTCCTATCCCACCAGAGGAGAGCTGAGTGCCTCCTAAGAGTAATCCAAAAGGCTCACCAAAGGAGTCAGTGCTAGAAAATGCTAATCTGCCATGTTCCTATGAAGCTTCAGCTTCTCAGCCCATCCAAGTTCCCCTTTATGTATGTTTACAAAGGAGAAATACTCAGTAGGCAGTGTCTAATCCAAGGCTTATAAATTGTGATGTTGTGTTAATCAGCTGTATTAGTCAATTAGTCAGAGCTAAATTTGGATTGACAATCTAGGTGGTAGGAGCTCTTCTAACCCTTCCCTCTCTTTCCTTTTAAACCTTTCTGATTCCAGATTCTCAGCATGGGATTTAGGAACAGGCATCCCCTGCTCTGCTCTGCTGAGTGACACCAGCCCTGGAGCTCCAGCCCTTCAGTGTTGCCTGCACAGGGGGAAAGAACCAAGCCTGCCACAGATGTGGGAATGGGGCTGTGGGAGCAGCTGGGAATACACTGGGGAATTCCCTGGGGAGCATCAGCCCATTGTCCTTACCTGTGCTGAGAACCAGAAAGAGACACAGGAACCCCAGGCCCATCTTGGCTGCCACATGCCAGCAGAGCCCCTGCATGATGGATGCTGACTCCCAGCAGGTCTGGCTGGTCTAGGAGACAGAAATGCTCTTTTGGTGGTGGTAAAATTTTTAGCATTGAGCAATTTTGTCCAGCCCTTGTCCCAGAATGATTTAATCACAGGAGAAATACCCAATTTCTGTGATGCAGAGAAAGATTGGGTTGGAAATGACAAAGGAACAGAATCCCACAATCAGCAATTCCTCTGTGCCTCTGGGTGCTGTGAGTTTAGCATGTGCCTCATGATTTTCGAGCCCTACCTAACTGGGTTTTCTGGAGAATTGGTAAGATTGTCAACACAACCCTCTTCTCAAGCAGGATGAGCTGTGCCTAAAAGACACCTGACACATCAAGTGCCTAAAGCTGTTCTGCTAAAACAAGATAAAATTTGGATATGTTTAGTTTCAGAGCAGACATGTCAACTGAAAAGTCACAGAAATGTTGCTTTTCTGATCATTCCTGGTTTTGTATTTTTGTAGTTATTATCTCCAAGTTGTGTCCATGCTGCCTTGCCTACCTGCTTGGTAAGGATTAACAGTGTTCTGCCTTTCAGACCATGAGCTGCATTCCAGGTTTCAAATATTTCATTAGATGGCTAGGGAGGTGGGGAAAAAAAGGTTTCTTTTCATGTTTCCCCTGTGTTTGTAATATCAGAACATGTCAATAACTCTGTAGTTGTCAGAAAATGAGAGACGATATGAAAACCAGCAAAAAAAAGAAAAAAAAAAAGCCCAAAATTTTTTAATATCCTCTTGGAGTAGCTAATCTTGCAAGTATGCAGAAAAACATTATCTTGAAGGTGATACTGTTTGATTCTGAAACTATTATCATCATATTTAAAATATTTTTCATTTTGAGAATTGAAACATTCAAAAAATGGCTTATTTGTATTTAGTGGCTCTAAAGAGACTCTTCCTGGGATGGTGGAACAATACTAAATATTTCTGTGTTGGAAATGTCTGTGTTTGCTGGTCTGATGAGTCAAAAGTGTGTAAGTGCCAGCTCTGCTAATTCAAGCAAAGCTCTGAGAGCTTTCAAGCAGTTCATCCTACCTATTCAGCCCATCTGCCCAATCCTTTTTACTCAGACCCAAGCCTGAACTCATCCACAGTTTCTGCACAGCATGTGCAGGAGAAATGAACTGAGGCAGAAAGTGTTGGCCAAATCTCATTCCCAGACTTCATACTCCATCCCCTTTCTATGGAGGAATTATGCATGGACAGAGTCCAGTATCCCATGGACAAGTCTAGCACTAAAAATCCTAAACCTGGCTTTTCTTGCAACAATATTTGGAATCTGGCAAACTGCTGGACTATGGACCATGAAAATGTTGCTGTCATGAAAATCCCAGGGCCTGACTCCCTGGCAAGGCTATCCCTGCTTCCACTCTGGTGTTATGAAGCTTCCTGGGACTTGTAACAGTTTGGGTTTGTTTTTTTTAATATGTTTTGGGTTTTTTTTTTGGTTTTCTTTTCTTTTTAATGGATCTGTGGACTCTGTAATTAGGGGAGAGCAGTGTGTTAGCTCAAGCATGTTCACAAGCTGATGTGATAAAAGCAGTGCAGGTGTAGTCTGCATGGAGATAGGTAAAAAACCAACCCACACCTCTGGATTCTGATAATTTTTTTGTTGTCTTTGGTTTGGCTCAATGAAATAGAGAGGAGTTAGTGAGAGATGTTCCTCTGAGGAGCTGAGTGTGAGGAAATGGTGCTTTGCAAAGCAGCAGGGTGTTGGGGAGAGCAGGCTTTGGGAGGTGGAGAGTTGGGTGACCATGTAAAGGGGGGTTTGTACCTGCATGTGATTTGGAGCAGGGGTCTGTGGTGGCTGGTGCATCTAGAGAATCAAGTTTATTAAAGGGGAACTATTGAGTTCTGTCTTTGTTTGAGGTGAGAAGTGGGGTGATTTGCTGCTTGCAATAGAACTGTGTGAATTTTGATTCTACTATGAGAAGTGTCACCTTAGCTCTGCAAAATCTGCATTGGGATGAGTTGTGCTTTGTGATGATGGCTCAGTGTTTATGGGCCACAGCCTCTCTGAGCTGTTCCATGCACACAGGAGTGCCCAGGCTGCAGAGCCAGTGCTGTCCCTGTGCACAGCAACCCCAGGGACACCAGCAGGAAACACAGACAACAGAAGTGCTGCCACTGTGCTGTCCCTGAGGGGCAAGGCTGGCCAGCCTGAGGGTCTCTGCAGCCCTGACTGGTGAATGACCCCACGCCTCTGCCCTGCACAAGGATTTTGGCTGCATGGCAGGTGAAAGACCCAGACCCAGGAGGTGGGAGAAGAGGGCATGCCCTGCCCCATTTTCAATCTGTCCCTACAGATCAATGGCCAGTGTTCATACACCATGAGGAAAATGGATTTCCAGGACCTGCTCTGAGGAATGTGGGCTCTCCTGGGTCACCAGTGACTCACACTGGCACTGTAATCCTGGGGGAGAGCATTTCACAGACTGATGTGAAAGCACAACTGTTTTACAAAGGTTCATAAGTAAAAGGGTAGATAGCAGATAATTTCCTATCAGAGATTAGTTTAGTGCTGATTTATTTAAACTGGCCAGAGTTGCTCATGGCAGCAGAACAGGGGATAATCGTTTAACAGAGGACTTGGTGTAGCAAGTAAGAGCAGGGTCTAGAGAGAACACATTCCTAAAAGACAGAGAAGAGGCAAGAGGATTGACACATGAAGGGATCATCTATTTTAGGAGAGAGAGAAAAGCTGTAAAAATACAAACAGAATAGAGCAAGACAAATTGTGCTTGGAAGCATTCCCCACACACTGGGTGAAGCTTTCTTGCTCACCTGAATTCTCAGTTCCCTGCTGTCCTCCCCACTGAGCTGCTCCTCTGTGCTAATCAACACACACAATTCTCTGCACACTGAGCTGCTCCTCTGTGCTAATCAACACACACAATTCTCTGCACATGTAGTGCTGATTTCCAGCAGGAATTCAGAGAAGGCATTACCTGGCCATACTACAGACTCACACTACAGACTCAGCCAAGCAAAACATCTAATGATAGGGACAACAGGCAAACATAACCTGGAAGGATGGATCACAGTAAGACACATCCTGTTCTACTTCTAGCAAAGAAATACTGAGTATTGTTGCTATAAAATGATGGAAAATCCTCCACTCATGAGAGTGCTTGTTTTGCCTGAATGCCATTTTTAGCACTGGTGTGTTCTCTGACCAGCACAAAATGCTTAAAAAGAAATTGCAGGTAAATCTTAATACCAGGGATATCACTCCAAAATGAACTACCCTTGCTCTTTACTTGGTAGAGACTTGATTTAAATTTGAAGCATTCGCTTTTAGTTTCTTCCCAAAATCTTTTTCCAGCATTAACTCCCAGAAATTTATGCTATCTAACCAAATTTCAAAACCATGTGTGACAACTATTCCTAGAACTGTTGCCTGAAATATCTTATCTCTCAGCAATGTAGATGTCAGTAATCTTAACTCTTGTAATACACGTCACATTTGCGTTACTCTGGTTATTCAATATCCAATTTTTATTTATCAGGGACGAGCCTTTATGACTTTGCAACTGTATCTCTCTTGAAGTGACTCCACTGCCATGACTGAAGTACATGTCCAGGTTGCAAATAAAAAACCCTCATTGTCCTCCAGACCAAAATCACCATTTCCATTTCAGACTATACTGAGATCCACAGGTGCCTCACAGCCCTGAGCAGGCAGACAAATCCCATAAACTGACTCAGAGAAGGTTTTCCTTCCAAACATTTGTCTGATAAAAGCTGAGGGTCAAGCCTTTGGTTACAAATTCTCCTTCAGCTCTGCTGGTATAACAATCCTCCTCTGTTTATTTTAAGCTGAATGATATTAGTAGAATCTATTTTATTTAGAACTGTTGATGCAGAGTTCCCTGAACTGCTGAATTGGAGATTTTAATCCAGTTCAAATTACTTTTATACACTCATGAAGACCTCTTATTAAATCCCTCTCTGTTACTCTGGGTTAACAGCAATCTTACACCAATGTGTTTATTAGCTATGCTTCAGTAGAAGTCCTTTTAATGTGGCAGGTAACCATGAAGTTTAAATAGTTTTCATTTTTCCTGTACCAACGCACTGCACTCCAATCTCAAGCAGTTTCCTCACGTCTTCACGCTTAACAGAGCAGAACAGAAATCAAGAGAACAAAGAAATAAAAGAGGAAAGTCCTTGAGTACAAATTTCCTTACCTGCATTCAGTTGCAACATCTAAAGGTCATGTCTCATTTTAAGCACACCATCATCCACCAAGTCTAAAGAAATATTTCAGGTTAATGTGAAAATATGCCCGTGTTACAATTGCACGCTTCATTACATTGATACAATTACTTTTTAAGTTCAGATTTATTTGTGTGAGAATGCAATATAATGCAATAAATATACATTTCGTAAAAAATTATTTAATTTGCTACATTTTCACTGAGCATTAATAGCACAGCTGAAAAGGTTTCCTCTAAGTACAAGCAAAACCACCAAGATCTGGAATAGTTAACATCAACTTACCTGATTTCTCATGACAAAAATTATCTTCAGAGCCAATATAACACTGGATGTTATTGCCAGTTGTTAATAAACACTTTGTGAAAAACTTTGAGAAGACAAACTTGATAATCTTTCCTTAAAATCCTGTGAAAATTGTTACCCTAATCCCTGAAGGACTAACCAGAGGTAACACAATCGTAAGCATACAAAGTGCCTGTTGAATCCTGCATGGAAAGGCTCTGTGGCAGGTCAGGTGGGGATTGGAAGCTCCTTTTGGCAGTAGAATTGAATTGTGGAGGATTTTTTTTCCCTTTTAAAGGAACAGCTGCAATTAGACCCATGGCACCTTTGATGGTGAGAAGTAGGCAAGGGTGAGCCCCTCTGGAAAAGCTTTAGTCATCCTTCAGGTCAGACAAGGGACATTGTCAAGAGGGCAGAGATGACACCTGAAGTGTATCTTAAGTGTGGAACCTCAAAAGGAATAAAATGTGAGTCACATCCAGGAAAAATTGCCTGGAATCATGGTTAGGTGATGGGGAAGGAAGACAGGTCAGGTCAGAGCAATGACATAGGGCAATTTCAGGGCTGCTGAGTGATGTTCGGTAGTATCCAAGGGAAGGTCACTGTTGGAAACAGCAAAGTTCTGCTACTGTTTACTCCAGTGGGCTGGAAAGAATTCCTCTGAAATCAGTGAGTTTAGATGCAGCATGGTTAAAAGCCAGTAATCATCCATTCAGTAATTTTATCACAATCCACCAAACGTTTCAACTTGTGAAACCACTCAAAATGTAGCAATTAATAAAGGAAATCTAAGTGGGTTCACAGTCAATTTATGAAACAAAAAGTGCTTTAGCAACCATTTTATGTATGTGGTTGAGCTGTGTCTCTCTCTGTCTAACAATCCTGCCTTTACCAAGAACTTCAGATGCTGCAAGGCAACTGCAGCCACATTTACCAGAGCTGTAGCTGGTCTATAAGATGCCCACATGTCTGTGCACATGCATGTACAATTTTTCCTTGTTTTCATTCACTCTGTTTTTCACAAAAAAACATTATGTGGTGGGGTGTCACTGCATCTAGTATCATTTAATTCTGTATGGAATTTAATGCTGTGACAAAAGGAAAATTTTTGAGACTTGTGACTGAATGCTGCAGCTGGAGGAATATGGAAGCACCTTTTCTTTGACAAGACTTACTTTTACTGACTTAATTACCAGTTGCTCAATTGCACATCCAGAAGACTGGGATGAAAGTCCTCTCTGTAACAGCTGACAAAAACAGGTATAGCCAGGAAAATGTGTGTGCTGGGATCAGTTCCAGCCTTTTGATGTTTGCCTGTGAGGATAATTAGACTTTCAGCAGGTTTTGCCTCATGCTGTGTCTTACCCTGGGACTCTGTAATTTTAACTTTCCTCAGCTGCTGAGCAATGCTCAGGTGACCTGGGAGGGGGCTTTTGTTCAGCCCCAACTTTGACTCTTGGGGACAATGCTGTGTTCTCACTCAGAACATCCCTCTGGGCAAGTAGCTTTCTCAGGAGTATAGTCTTTACATGCCTCCTTTTTCCAGCATCCCTTTGTGTGGCAGCACTGTGTCCATAACCAGCATCCCAAAATCCAGAACAGGAAAAAAAAAGACATTTTCAGTGTCTCTTAGTAACACAGTATAGACACACAATTCACATAAATTACCTAGTAAATGCATCCATTTGCTGAAGGTTGCACAGGGTAAGGGCCTGCTAATGCAATTTAAATAAACAGAAATTCAAGGAAATGCCTGTGATTTATCTGTAAGAGACAGTGTGGTGTGATGTTCTGGTAGGGAGGGAGAAAATGAAGTCTGGCTGTTGGAGCTCTGTCTCTCTGAGGGCTGAGAGCACAGAGTGAAAGCAAAGCACTATTTCTTCCTTCTGGCTTTTTCTTAGGCCTTTAGATGTGGTTAAAAGCACACATTTCTCTGTAGAAATTGCAATATGTGTAAGTGGCTGCAAGAGCTGCAGCCATCCATTCCTGTGACCTCAGCCAGTGGCATGAACAGGTGTCCCCTCCCACCTGCTGTGTCCTGGGCTGGCAGTGGCTCCCTGTCCTGGTGTGCCACTGGGGTGGCAGCGTCCTCAGGTGTGGCCACCCTCCAGCCTGGCTGGCCTGTGAACCATCTCTGCCCTGAAAGATGAGCTGTGGCACCTGGAGCACTGTAGCACCTAAAGTACCTCACAGAACTGCCTGATTTACCTGGTTAGAAAACACAAATCCAGCTGTGTCTCTCTCACCCAATGCTGATGTGCAAGAGAGAAGGAAATGCTGTTTTTAAATAGAGTGCAAAGAAGCAAACTTAACCCAAGTGTACTCCAGAGCACTGAAGTTTTATTTTCAGTTACACTTCATTTTACTGTGGCAAAGGTTTCCATGAAAGCATCTTTGAATGATTATTAAATAAATTTTGTTTAGAAAAGTATCAATTGAGTACATTTAATTTGTTCTGAAAAAACTGTTTGCACTTCAACACTTCTCTCTTAGTCCTCTACCATCACAATTTTATAAGATATTTTGTTTATTTTATTAAGAAATGTACTAGTTCTAGAAATTTTTAATTTTAGATTTTTCCAATATCCTTCTATTATATCCTTCTATTATTTTTGGCACAAGTTTTATTAAAGACAACTCTCTAAATGTATTACTGTTTCTTTGTCAATCTTTTTTCAGTAGAATAACATTTCATCTCCTAAAAGAAAAATTATATAAAGAAACTCAGAATTACTACATGTGGGAAAGACCTCTAAGATCATTGAGTCCAACCATTAACCCAGCACTACCTCTAGGGAGGTGATTCCCTGGGCACTTCCTGGACAGCCTGTTCCAGTGCTTGACAATCCTTCAATTGAAGAAATTGTTCCTAATATCCAACCTAAACCTCCCCTGGTACAACTGGAGGCCGTTTCCTCTTTTCTCATCTCTTGTTACCTGAGAGAAGAGATTGACCCCACCTGGCTGCAGCCTCCTGTCGGGCAGATGTGGAGACTGACAAGGTCTCTCCTGTTGCCCTGTTCTTCTAAATTCTTCTAAGCCTTCTGATGTTTACATTTTTGGAATGGAGTTTCTCATGCACTTTTCGTGTAAATAATGATGGTTTTGCATTCCTTTCTGGAGGAGGAGAAAATTGATGGACTGTTGGTTTGACCAGTGTGGCTGGAGAGGTGGCAATTTCATCCTCCAATCCATGGTCACTTCTGAAAGTCTATAAATATTGGAGTTTGAAAATAAACTATGCTCTTTTTACCTTGGACGTTTCAGCTTGTGCGTGTCGTTCATTTCGTGCCCTATTGTGACACTCTCCTGAGCCTCCTTTCTCCAGGCTGAACAGCCCCAGCTCCCTCAGCTGCTCCTCAGCCTTGTGCTCCAGCCCCTTCCCCAGCTCTGTTGTTCTCTGAACACACTCCAGCCCCTCAGTGTCTTTCCTGCAGTGAGGGGCCCAGAACTGAGCACAGGATTTGAGGTGTGGCCTCACCGGTGCCCAGCACAGGGGGACAATCCCTGCCCTGGCCCTGCTGGGGACACTGTTGCTGATGCAGGCCAGCTGCCATTGCAATTCTTGCCCACCTGGCACACTCTGGCTCATGCTCAGCTGCTGCCAGCCTGCACCCCAGGCCTTTCCCACTGGGAGCTTTTCAGTCACTGAGCCCCAGCCCAGAGCACTGCAGGGGATTGTTCTGACCCAAGTGCAGAACTCGGCACTTTGCTTTGTAGAACTCCAAATACATAGTTATACATAAAAACTTGTATTTGTTCCATTCATAGAATGTCCTTCCCATTTCAGAACATGTGTTCCAGATTGCAAGGCAAGATGTATTCTATTGCCATCTGTGTGGCAGATTACCTTTGTCAAGTGGGCAGTTTGCTTTATCTCTCTCTCTGAGTGACCACAATCACTCCTGCCTTGGGAGGGGATATCTGCTGATAACAGCTATTGAATGTCACTGCACGACTGATAAGAGCTATAATATCCCATTGTGAGATGCTCCGCCCAGAGGGAGGAGCCAAGCATTGCTACCCGGATATAATCCAGAGGTTTTTGAGATACCAGCACGGCTTTTCTCCACGGGATTCCCCAGAGGAGCAGCAGCTGCCTCTTCTTCCATGGGATCTTCAGAGGAAGAATCCATCCTTCTCTACAGATCCCCCTGCTCCAACAGAACCACACCTGACACTGCAGGAGGGCTGCAGGCACATTTCCAATGGGACTGCCACCCACACCCTGACCCACAGGGTGTCAGGTTGGGTTCTGACTCTGTCAGTGTTGTTCTAGTGTACTGCATTGTTTATTTTATCCTTTCATTTTTTCTTCCCTATTAAAGAACTGTTTTTTCCTGCTCCCATATTTTTGCCTGATAGTCCCTTAATTTAAAATTTATAGCAATTTGGAGGGGCGGGGAGGGTTTACACTCTCCATTTCAGGGGAGGCTCCTGCCTTCCTTAGCAGATTCCTGTCTTTCCAAACCAAGACAACATGGATTTAGAACTGAAAATAGTTTCTGTCCTTTATATAACTTTTTCTTTAATTTTTATTATCTATGTACCAATTGCTAAGATTGGAACTAACATCACAAAACTTCCTGAACAGAATGTGCATTAAACTCTACAAACTGTTTTCAGTAAGAGTGTAAGTTTTGTGTGTTTACTAAAGTAGGAAACACTTTCTTTTGAAGCGTCTGATATTGTGAAACTTTTTTTGAACTCAAGTATGCTCTTGAGGGAGTAAAAGAAGAGAAAATAAAAAAAAGGGGCCATGAAGATAATGAAAATGTGTAGTAGTGAGAGGCATGGAGTCCTAGTGATTTTCTTATCTGCATGTGAGTTACAATACATGAGATTTTTACACAATACTATGCACTGCTCCTTGAGAGTTTCCAAAGTTAGCTTGTGATAAAGCACTTGGCATTTTTAAACACAGATCCTCATAAAGCTCTGATTGGATAACAAGAAATTTAAGCAGTCCAGAACTTAGAAAACTGTTTAATGACTTATCCAATGATTTTATTTCTGATAGGATGTGTGTCAGTGATGTAACTGACCCCATCAAATCTGCCAAAAAATTCGCATATTACGCCTTTTTCATGATCTCTACTCTGTATTCTGCTGTCCATCTGCACCTGACACAAAGAAGCAGGAGAAAAGCCACTGGGCTGACAGTATTATCTTAGAGAGCAATTTCTTTAAATAATGTCTAGCTCCCCTGCTGTTCTCTGCTCTGGCTTTCCTGATTCCATCCCTTCTCTGTGTTCCAAAAGGATGCTCTGTGTTCCAAGAGGATGCTCTGTGTTTGTCAAGCAACTGTTTTACCCTGGCAAGTCTTAAAAATCAAAGCATCCTACAAATAAATAGAAGGGTACACCAAGAAAATTCCATTCCTGAAGCTGTTTCTTGATTGACACTGCTTCAATTTTTACCCTTTCTAAACTGCTGACCCTAAGTCTTATTCTGCTTAGGTGGGGGACAATTGTATAGGATTCCCAAGTCCCATATAGGGGTAAGCACAGGCTGCACCCCTGGATACAAGCAGGACTTTGCCTTAGAATAGGTATCACACCTTCTTCCCTTTTTAGAGTCCACTTCTTAAAGGATCAGACCTAATACCTCACTGAAATCCAGTGACTTGTCAGGTTCTGGTATTTGGGTGACAGCCAAGGGGAAATTTTAATGCAACACCTTTCATTGCAGATGAACCAAAGCTGAGTGTTTCACCTGCTGTGTCTGTGAAATGCTCAGGGAAATGCCATTGCTGTGCCTGGCAGCTGCAGGGCTCAGCCCAAGCCCTCCTGCTCAGGCTGGGACATTCAGGGCTGAGGCAGTGATGATAATGCAGGGTAGAGTTGTCTGTAAAAGTGGACACACTTGAAAAACCCCTGAACCCCAAAAGGTTCAGAATTCCACACTCTGATGCATTAGTTTGGAAAAACACAAACTGTCAATCTTTGGAAAGAATAGAACTTGGTTGTAAGAACCTGACATTCACCCTATTTATTTTTTAGATATTATTTATTTAAATTGAATCATTTAAAACAAACAAATAGACTCAAAAGCACTACAACTTAATGTTGCAGTACTAAAGGATCCTTTAATTATTCCCACATTACAGTGGTTTAGAAGTGGGATAAGACGTGGCATAAATGTTGAATATTTTTTTACCTACCATAAAATATTAAAAAACCTTAGGTTGTAAGGTTTTTAGGTTATATTTCAAGTGTTCAGCAGAGCTCATTCTTTGGTGATAGCCATGAAACTGAAGCCACAGAGAATGCCTTAAAATACCTCTCTGTGTCCAGCTACATTTTTGGGAAGAGTTGATGTTTCATGTGTTTCTCTTCCTGTCTCATTCAGACACAGAACCACACAGAAATGCAGCAACAGAACCAGGGGTAGAATTCAAGCAAATTCCCTGCAGGGGATATTCTGATCATGCTTGTACCATTACTGTGTTCCCTCTATATTTTGTTTGCAATTTCATAATATTTTAGCACGTTATGTTTCCAATATGAGTGCATTTTCTCCCACTTTTCATTTTCCCCTTCACATATGCTTAAAGCCATATAAATTACATGGCCGCTAAATCAAGAGATGTCACAAATAATGGGATCTAGCATGTGTTGACAGGGCTGGCTGTGGAAGCCACATAAAACCTGCTTGTAGCTGAGTTTAGTCCTGCCCAGATGAAGTCAAAAGGGTCTTTGCCAATGTCTCTGCTGGGAGTATATTTGACAATATATTCTTTGAATATGTGTGAAGATATCAAGATTTAAATGAAAATAAACCCAACCACATCATAATTGAAATTTCTATTTATTAATAAGTGGTGCAGTTTTTAAAGACAGAACATAAAAAAATCAGTTAAGAAGTATTGTTTGCATAATATATTGAAATAAACATATTAAATTTGTTCAAATATTGGACAGTGCCAGAATAGAAATTACACATACAGTTTAAAAATTACAATAAATAATATTATAAAGAGCACTAAAGGCCACTTGTATAAAAGTTGTGTTCCCTTGTCAGCCAGAATCTGAAAAGCATCTTTGTAGCATGGAGAAGATTTCAGTGAGCAAGGCACAAATACTAGTAATAATAAGATGCCATAACTAGAAAACAAAATGCAGTTGGCTATGTAACCTTCAGTCTCAGTGTTCTTCATGATGGAAATAGGAGCCCATTTTCACTATTTTGCTTCAGTTAACTTCAGAGGGAAGCTACTCAAAGCTGAATTGGGAAGGATCAAATCTTACAGCCTAAAAAACCAGAAGGAAAAGTGATGCCCAGGGTCTTCATTGCTAGGGTGCCCAGCTAAAAACACTAAAACACTGGAAAATGCCCCCTTTTCCTCTGCACCTCTTAAAATAATCTTCAAATGAAGCGCTCACATCCAGCTGTGCTCCTGAAAAAGTGACATCCCACCAAATTCATGAGGTGCTGTAGGAGATTTAGGTTTGCAGCTCTTAGACACCTCCAGCTCAGTGATGGGGGCTGTGGGGTGCAGGGAATCCAGACCCAGCTCTTTCCCCACAGGCTCTGCAGTAATCAGGATGGATTCAGTTCCTGCCCAAGCAGATGTGACACCTCTGCAGCAGCTGGGCTCCCAGCAGGGCTGAGGGTGCTCCTCACTCTGCATTTTCTGATTGCTTTAGGCTGTGATCTTGCAAACTGCTTGGACCTTGGTGCTCTCCTGAAGGTCACAAAGCCCTGCTAGCCCCGGGTTCAGGTGGGCTTTAGTTTGCAGCACTCATGGGCCACCATTTGAAGCAGAAAAATTTTAAACTATTTCCACTCTGGACCATAATAATGCAGCAATGTTACAGATAAAAACAGAGCAAATATAGCCAAAGGACAATTTAGGGACTTTTTAATCAATCTCTCCATGGGTTGAATTCCCTTTTATTTAGATAGGAGCCAGAGTGATAAATTCAGGGCAGGGAAAAGCCAAGGCAAGGACAACAGTCATTACCTGACTAGATTTTTTTTTTTAAGTGCCAACTCTCTTAGTAGAGCATAAACCACTTTTATCATACCTTCATACCTCAACAAAGCATTCACTTTTGCCTTAATCAAATAGTCCCAGTTTCATCTAAAATGAGGAAGCTTAATTGATAATAATGCTGCAAAGAGAGGCAAACAATGTAAACACAGATTCACCTTTTTGAAAACTTCCAGACATCTGGCATTTGTTTGGGACTGAAAATCACTCTCAAAATGTAGCCAAGAAAAATGTCTCCAGATCAGTGCTGTCCTTCACAAGAAAATTTATAAATAATGGCAGATTAGAACCCAGCCCTGCTCCCAGTGCATCACTGTGAGAAGGTTTCTATCTTACTTCAAGGAGAGCAGAGAAAAGCTCCACAGTTTCAAATTACAAAAAATATCTCAAGGCCTGAAATGAGATGAGAGTCATCAAAGTCATTAATACTTTTTAATGTAAAGTACATGCAAACAAAGTGCTAGTGTGAGTCGAGATGCTAGAAAGGTCTGACCCAAAGAGAATCGATAACTCTTTAACTGAAACATCATGCAGAAGAAGGTATAAATCTAATTAATTCCTATTACAAAGACTATTATTGACCCAGATGCCTTCCTCAAATGAAATTGTGCATAGAGATTGTGTATGGAAAGAGGTCTTGACATTCTTAATGTTACTGGGATCACACATAGTTCATTTTGCTTTGTCCAGCATCTATGGCTGGCACATGAACCACAGTTCCAGGGTGGATGCATTCCCTGGACTCACCCTGATTGGAGTCTGATGAATTTGTGTGCAAATCCCAGATCTGGGATGGTCTCCAGATCTCACCTTGCTGGTGACACCTTGACACCTATCTGTTGTCATCACAGACAGCAGAATTGATGGATGCCCTATTTTTAACCCCAATGATGTAAATGGCAGAGAGCTGCTAAGAACCCTTATGAACAGAGCAGTGACAGGTTTCAGTGTTAAGAAAGAAAAATATATATTAAAATAAGCCAATCAGATCTGCCTGTCTCATTTCTTGGGTCTCCACAGGACCCACAGATGTCTACTGCAGAGGATCTTGCTGAGTTTATCACCAGTGCTTTTTAAGAAGAGGCAGATCTTATCTGGCATCATTAAATATTTCATGATGTGGCTACAAATACCTGACCTGACACCTTAAAGATGCATATTGTGATTGCAGGCCAGAGAAAACACTAACTTCAAGACAGTTCATCTGCTAAGTGTGCAGAGTGCAGGGCAGCCCAAATCCTTTCTCTGGGGCTGTACCCTGTATGCAGGTGAATGTACATCCAAGTCTCTGCTCTTGCTTGGATCTTCTCTTGGAAAGAACATAACTTTATAAGGAGGCTATTTATGGATTTTCAACCAGGTTTCAATACTGAGAAAAGATTGCTTTTATATGACCTGTCATGAAAAAGAACAAAAACCCGAACTGAAGAATTTCAGTGGGAATTGGACAGGGAACTGCATGGCATAGCCACTGTCAAAGACACTCACAAACAAATTGATCAGACTGCACCTGCTTTTTAGCTGCCATCATTTTTGATTGTTTAGCTCTAGGAAGCATTTAAAGAAGGACCAAACTGAGATTAAATCAGTAGGAACAATAGGCCCTTTATATTCAAGAAAACTGAAGCAGGCTTGTCTAGCACATACTTGCATACACTTCAGAAGTGTAGCAATGTTAAAATAAATTTTCATTCTTTTCCATTCTTTTGTCATGTGAGGGTTAAATCTCACAACTTGCCACAGACATCTATTACTATTTCAGAAAGCCTGCAACAGGTACAATGCAGATATTTCCAAGAATCGTAAGGGCCAAAGAATTCTCAATATGCCAAATTATAACGAATTACACCTTGGTCATTTAGTTTTATTCTTAAATTTAGCCACAAAACTGTGCCAAACACAGATTATCTTTCAAGTCAATGCTATTTTGTCAATTAAGTAATTACCAAAATTGTGCCTCATACCATCATGGTTAGTGGTTTCAGAACAGCTCCATGAACTCATCCCAGTCTTCAAAGGCTGTAACTGCTCTGCAGTATTTAATCCTGTAACAACAGCAATTTGTTCTTCCTGAAGATCCATCCCAGAAGGATGAAACATGATTTAGCTGAAGAATCAGATGAAGTAAGAAGATCCTAATCCTTTAGATGTCTCTTCCAATAGAGAACAAACAGTGAAGATGAAGGCAATGCCCATATCTGGGAAAGAACAGAATTCCCTGGATGGAATTACTGCTGTGAGATGTCAACAATACTGAGGAATTAAACCAAAAGCTTACTATGGTCAGAAAAACCTAACAAAATATTGTCCATTGGAGCACTTTCCATGCAGGGCTGTGAAGTTCCCAGTAAGCACTGGGAGGCCCAGTAACGTGTTCTTGGCTCAGACTGGATTTTCCAAAGATGCTCAGTTGTGCAGCTGCAGTGTAATGCAAGCAGCCTTTACAGAAAATCCCTTTTGTAACACCATATTTGGGCCAAATCCTGCCTATCTCTGCTGGTCACTGCCCTGGCCACAGTGGGGAAGTCAATGTGTGGAGTGACAGGGATTGTTCTGGACATGAGGTGGGGATGAGCCATGGCAGAGAGGCTGCACCTTGGAGCACTGGGGGAGAGGTGAGACAGCTAACACTGATTGTGTGGTCTCTGATCATCTGACATCTAAGCAAGTCACCTTCTGCTCTCTTTGAAGTTGGTGCACATTTGGTCATTGTGGATAACTGAGTTAAAGGTGAGATTAATCTCATCCTGAATTTGATGTGTGCCTTTGTTGCTGTACCCTGTGCTCACTGACTGTACTCCTTCATTTCCCACCAGCTGTAAAGAGTGTACAGCCACCAAGCTGGACATCACATGGATGCTATTTCATGGACACATTGACTGACACCAGGTAAGACCTGTACAGGGTATTTGGATATGCTAGTTTCACTAGCTTTATAGGTACTACATTCCCACTGTAGTGGTGAGATCTTTGATTCATTTCCTTCCAGTGATCCAGTGATTTTCCTGGTCTCCTCCTTCTCAATATTTTCCAACTTCCATTAAAAAATATTTGGCTGAGGCCTAGGGAGTATACTTATCTCTCTGTTGCTCAGGGACACATGACAAAAATGGTGGTTATTTATTCATATATTAATCCTAAACATAGCACACATTCATGGATTTGGAGCATTCCATTTCCAAGAGAAAAGGTAAACAGAGAGAAACAGATCCTGGCAGCATCTCACACTGTAGAACTTGCAGGGAAGAGAATAGCAATTTTCTGCACATCTGAGGAGCTCAAAGCACTTGACAAATATTGGAGAATTGAGCCTTTCAACCTGTGAGCATGTGTGGAAGTGTAACTCCCAATTAACAGACTGGGAAACTGAGGCTGAGTTACATTATGCTTCTTACTTAGCAGCACCTAAGTCAATAGAAGAGTGGAGTGTATAAACCTGGAGTTCTCTATGCTGAACAACCTTATTTTTGTAACAAAGAAAATTTGGCCCCATAAGTAGCAAATAGACTTAGCAAAAGATTTTCTTAAAAAAAGCATTATAACCCTACTTTGAGCAATTTTATAAGCACTAATGAAGATTTTCAAAGTATTTTGAGAGATTTGTATTTACATTTTACAATAAATAAATACCTATCATCAATCCCAGGAGGTGGCTTGGATGATTTAAAATCCTACCCTTAATTTCATTTCAACATCGTTTTTCAGGAGTAATTATATGAGATCACATGAGAAACATTTAGTTCACAAAAACTTTCCAATAAGGTCATAGTTTAACTCAGCTTTTCCCCTGCTTTTGGTTGATTAGAGATTGATTTGCTTGGTTGATTGGCTTGGTTTATTAGAGATTGATTTGCTTATAACGGAAAATTATTTAGACATTTTGTTTCCACAAAGGGCTATAGTTCCTGAAAAATCTTTTTATTTTGCTGCTCTGTTTACAAAATGTAGCAAGGACCACTGTATCTTGTCTGTTATCAATTCACCATTGTTGTATTGAAGAGTACCAGATAGATATGTATCATGGAAGAAATCAGCTGTACCATTTATACAGGGCAAAGTCATGCAAACCATGCTCAAAACTAAGCTCCTTAGTTTTGGTAGCATGAAAAAAACTGCATCAGTAAATTGTATGAAATGGTGCAGAATGACTACCACTAATATCACATGCATCTTATGCAGCCATTGGTGTTTTGAACTAGTAAGCTTTGGGTGTAGAGTAAGTGAGATATACAAAGTATGCTTACATTACAAGGAGAAGTCAGCCAGTGACTGCCCCCACACGCGCTTTTAAACTGGCTTGTTTGACGGGGTCCATATTGAGTCTGAAATCCCATCTCCCGTGGAGGACAGAGGCATGGAGCCACTCGGTGTGAAGGGGTCTGTGTCTGTGTCTGTCTCCCCCTCTGCCAGGTAGCGTTTCTCCCTCATCCACGCCGAGCCCCCGCTGGGGCCGAAGGGGAAGTCGTCCCTCTCCTGGGAGATGCTGAAGCCGCTCGGGGAGCGCTCCAGCTCCTCGTGGTTGACGGAGAGAAGGGACAACGGGGTGTCGCTGTCTCTCGTGAGGCTCCTTCTCTGCCTCGGGGACACCTTGTCTGAGTAAGGGCTTTGAAGGTCCCCGTGGGAGTGGTAGCTAACCTGGGAGTCCATTAATGTGAATATAGGCAGAACTGTTGGCCTCTCTGCATATGAAGTTGAGGAAGGTGTGGCTTGCAGTCTGCCAGAGTTTTGCCCACCTATTGATAAAGGTTGTGAGTGAGCCGTGTGACCCCGTGCTGAGAAACCATAGGGGCTGACTTTGTTGACTGGAACCTGCTGGAAGTTGTAAGGAGTTTCACGAGAACACTGCTCAGTGTATTTATATATTATTGTTTTTAATTCAGAATATTTGTTTTCTTCTCTCTTCTCCCTTGCAGGAGAAGCGGTTTCTTTCAATGGACTTATCTCAGCAACTTGTATCTGCAGCTGTTCCATGTGATGCATATGCATATCAACAAGAAAATCCAGTTTCTTCCCCATGTCATTTACCTGAAAAATACCAATGTCATAATATTGCCTCAAGTCAGTTGTTCAAAAAGAGTCCATGATTCCATACATGTACAATGGTGTGCTGCCATGTTTATTGGTCATGGAGGTTCATACAATAACCATGACCCTCTCTCAAAGCTGGGCTGAAATGGACGACAGCTTATCTTCTAACTCCTCAGAATAAGAAGACTCATCCCTATGAACTGTGCCAAAAAAATTATTAGTCTTGCTGGATATTTATCAGTACAGTATCCAACAGGACTCTATAATGTTATGACAAAGTTCTTGATACCAGTGGTAAATAGCTGTTACCAAAATACACTATATGGAATTACCTTTGCACACAGACCTGTTCTCTAACTGATAATTACAGAATCATCTAGGTTGGAAAAGACCTCTGAGATCATTAAGTCCAACTTATGACCTAATGCCACGTAATAGACCCAGAACATCAGGGTTACACACCAGGACTAGTTTCCTTTCTCTTTTGGATAAGGCCCAAGAGTGGACAACCATTTTGAGTCCAAAGCCTGCAGGAAAAGGACTTGCTCATGCCAAACACCAGATATGATGAGTACTGAAGCTACAGGAATTTAAAAGTTCCACTTCAATATCGTGGTTAGGATCTTCTGCCATACACAGTGACATTGATTCAACAAGTTTCAAAAGGCGCGCTTCCCAGGTAAGCAAATTCTTTCATGAAAAACTAGCAGCATAGTTTTGTGATCATTGGAACAAGATCTCTGTGAGTCTTCACCACCAGCAGCACAATTCTGCCTGGGTCAGCCAGAGTCATGCAGAATTTATATCAGCTCTATCATTTCTGAACAAGCTCCTCATGAAATTACTTACCTGCCTCTCAACTTTAACAAATTTTCCCATCATACTTTGGTCTTCAGTATCAGCTGTAGATGCTTTGGCTACATATGGTTCATTTCTGCAAAGAATTAATAACTCTATTAGTGTTCAATATTTCTTTGCATCACAACAAGCAATTTATATAAGAAAACAGAATTGCCATCTTGTTGATTTATTCGTATAGATCCTTGGAGCCATTTTTGCTGTTTATACAAACAGGAGTGAGAGTCTATTCTATGTGATAATGCATTCCTAAAAAAATATAATATTGATTTTTAATTTTTTAATGTTTTGTTTTTCAAGTTTCAAATAAAGATTAAAAAGCACCAGAAGTTCAAAAGAAAATTAAAATTAATCTCCAGCTTGTTGGAATAATTTCAGGTTTGTGAAAATTATTGAGATAGTGCAGTTAGTGAGTCTACAGATGGCCATGTGTTTTTAAATCTAATTCTTTATAATTAGTGTCTTTGGAGACTGAATCTGAGTTTCAAAGATGAGTGTGTTTTTTTCTCAATTTCATTATATCAAATAGTAAGTGTCAGATATTGGAAATGCTGAAAAGAGACAGTCTGGTCTGGAGATTTAAAGCTGATTCCAAAATAAGTTTTCATCTATGCAATTTCCTCTTGCCTGTCCATCAGATGGACCAAATTCATTAGGTAAGAAGATGATCTCTAACTAAGGAGTTTTATTTATAACTTCATGGAATTTTGGATTCTCATATCAAGTTAATCCTTTATCAAACAGTTTCCAAACTGATGTCAAAGGAGTCAATATTTTCCCATAACCTATGCCTAATTTCTGAGCACTTGCTCTTTAACATGATTTGGAACAAATATACTTTAAGACTTTTGACATGCCCAGTTCTTCTCTTTCCTGACAAAATCCAAAATACAGCTGTGAATAAATTGTATTAGAGCAAAATCTATACCTAAAACATGTCAGATTTTCCACATTGGGTTACTGGTGATATGGGCTCATGCAGTTTTTGCAATCTGCTTTCCTGCCCAAATGATCACTGCCTCTTCCATATACTTAGGTCTCTTTCTTCACATTTATGTGGTTTTGGAATTTTCTCTGTGTGCGATAATTTATTTTCTGTAAGATTGCTTTTGTTCTGAGCAACCACAACAGCTTTGGGGACAGATTGTTGATGGTCTTGTGTGGTTCTTGATGGATATTTATTGACAGATTGATAGTTGTAAACAACAGAAGAAATGTCATTTATTATTGAATTTTTTCTATGTGGAATGCAGCAATACAATAATATGGTGCAATTTTCACACTCAGAAATCTGTTATTTCAATTTGTTTTGTGTATCTCTCACCAATCACTGATTTAAAAGCTGCAGCATTAAAAAGCTCTGCTTGCCCTTTGGTGGGCACTTCAGGAAGAGAACTAATTTACTTTCAAACTGTTAGTGGTTTTTATTGAGCTTTTAAGTGGGTTTACAAGTTAAATGTTAGAAAATTAGCACATCAGCAATCAAATGCATGCATTTAATTTAAAACCATATTTTCAAACTGTGGAGAAGCTGAGCTGGACAATTAAGAAGCCGTTGTTTAGATTTTTCATCACACATTGCTCTTAGTGACTTTCTGGCTCAATGTTTATCCACAGCTATCTCATAGCAACATATCCTCTCAGTATCATTACTTTAACAGTGTTTGAAGAAAGATCATGCTTATTGGAATGAATTAACTTTTTATTTCTGCGTTGGGCTGTGCTAAACACTAGGTATAAAAGAATTCACCTGGGAGACTGTTGTGAAGGGTAAGAAAAAGCTCCTCCCTTTTGGGATTTCTTATGCTTGGGAGTAGATGGAGGTCCAGATGTAAAAATCATATCTACTCTGAAAAAAAGAAAAGTGCAACTGTGTAAGTCCATCTCCAAAAGTTAACACATGACAGAATACGCTGGGCATCTCTGAAGCAAAGATTCAAAAAGGAAGCATGTGTTGATTTGGTAATATATTGATGCTTATGATGTGTCTGCTCTCTTTTGGGTCACAATCAATGCACTGAATTGCAATTACCTGGTAATTTAATAGTAATTAAGTAATGCTCTAGCTCACTGTTTCCAAACTTCAACATTTGAAACACAACTTCTTTTCCTTCAAAGGAGCCAAACAGCATAATTGTGAAAAAATAGCCAATAGCAGCTGCTCTTAAAAATGTCAGGAGATCCATCAGATTTTGTGCAGGGTAACGAAAATCAGAACTTGGCAAAAGGTGGAATTGCTGACATTCCTAACAAACCAATCACATTCTGTCAGTTGTTGTTTCCAATTGTCAGCAATATTTTAGTCTTTACTAATTATTCTTTTGGCTTGAAAAACATAACTTTAAATGAAGTTGCATAAGGAAGTCTACTCAATTTTTTTTATTTGGCACCAAAGGAGAAAGATTGTTCAGAATGCTCCAACATGTAATTATACTCTTTTACTATATCAAATATTCTTTCATTTGTCATTTCCAACTGCTCAGGTGCAAGTTAGTCTCTGTTTATTCAGTTCACCCCTCAAAATGGCCACATATCAATCAGCACTAGTTCACAAACCAGTTATCTGTATTATTGGACAATCCATGCAGATGCCTTGCATGGTTTCATAGTGCCCCATAGAGTTCTGAAAATGGAACTTGAAAAAGCTCCAGGCAAGCCTCACAAAGCTAGCTAGATATTGGCTTGAATCCCCAGGCATTGCTGACAGACATGCTAAATACTTGAAAAAGAGATTGTTCAGTGCACGGAAAATCACTTTGAAATAAGAAATTACAAAGTTCAGCAGAAAGATCAGGGCAGCCTTTTAAAGCCAAGGTAAGTCCAGACAACACCCAAATGTGCAGCAAGAGTTGCACTCCCTCAGCCTGTTATTGGAGAGAAATGAAGGTGATTTTGTGGCATTTTGATGTTCGGAGTCACTGAGGGCCTCGAGGAATGTGCTGTGCAGAGACAGAGCAAGGACAGCCCCACACACCTGCACACACACCTGCACACACACCTGCACACACACCTGCACACACATCTGGACACACATCTGGACACACATCTGGACACGCATCTGGACACGTGCACTCAGGCCCACACGGATTTCCAACCCCAAGCTCTGACCTGGGCTAATGGATCAGGGGACAAGAAGCACAAATTTTTGTAGATGTGCCTCAAAATCACATTGCAATGAACCTCTTCTGAGAGGAAAGAGCTGTGGATGCAGATTGCACCTGAACAAACACAGAGGCCTGAAATTCCATTTTTTTTTCAGATAGGTCAATTACACCTAAGTGAAACCTTCTGTGCTGATGTATTTTGGCACTTTTATGTGATGTTTCACTAGGCACACATCATCAGAGAATCCAGCCCAAAGAAAAGTTCATGGAGAGCAACTATTGCTTTTATTTATCATCTGTAAAATGGGGAGAGGAGAGAAATTTGATCCTGACCAAATAAGGCAACAGTGAAGAAAATTCACAGCATTTTTAAGCTCTGATGTCCTTCTTCTATATCTGAGCCAGTGGTCTCTCCCTGCAGTTCTCCCTGCTAGCTCTCTCTTGCCTTTTGTTTTTGGGAAAAGGTTTTGTCATGGACCAGCAGCACCGTGCAAAGGCGTGACTTCTGGGTGGCCTTGTACACAGATAGGCCAATGTTTCCATTCTGCCACCAAAGCTGTACATTTACCAGAAGATTCTTACCTTGCCTGAAGGTATTTTATTCTGGAAAGCATATCAAGATGCCCTGCTGAGTATTGCTCTATCACATCCTTTACATCATAAGGCCTCAAAGTCTCCTTGAATTTTTTTTTATAGAGACGAAACTGTAGTATTCTGCAAATTAAACAGAAAAAATATTAATTTCTTATATAGATTTCGTGATGAAAATTTCCAGTTTTTTCAAAATATGGATGAATTCGCTGGGTGTTTGAGTGCAAATTGAGTATGGTTATTTCCAAACAAGGCAATAAAATATAAACAAAGAATCTATAACATCATGCTATATTTGAAAATTTATAATAGTTGTCTTTGCATAATTCATAGTCTTAAAAATGGTTTAAAGCTTCAGAATCACAGTTGGAGCTCGAATTTGAACAACACAAGTCACAGGAGATTTTGAAGCTGTGAAGTTGAAGCTGCTTCTTCTATGCTTCAGTCTATTATAAAGCAAATTTATAGTATATGCAATGCTGAATCATTTTCATCTTGGTTTTAATTTTGCACCTGGGAAAGTTTTGGATAGGAAATGATAATTAGATATAGATGTGGAAGTTAAGAAGTTAGCAGCAGTTCAGGTTGTGAAGAGGAGAAAACTTTTAGAACTGCCTGAAGTGTCCTTGAAGAAAACAGCAGTATCACATTATTGTTGTTGTTGTAGTGATAATAATATGATTGCTCTTATTATTGCTATTGCTATAAAATGAGCTAGTAATTAGTAACAGAATTCTTATAAAAAGGAACACTGCTGGCCAGAGCACTTGAAAATGTTTGGCATTTTCACCATTTTCTGTTTATAATTACTTTATATATATATATATATACAGGGAGATGAAACAAATAGAAGAAATACATTTAAACAATGAAAGCTTTATCTTTATCTGGTTTAGACTTGGGTTCTGGATGTTTGCTTTCTCAGTAGAGTCTCCAGGTACTTGTTGGTCTGAACTGGGATATTGCTGTCATCTGTTAAGGTTCTAACTTTTTTTTTAATTTAAGGTTGGTGGGTTTTTTAATGTTTTTAAAGTCTGTATAAAATTTCATTTAGCAAAGATAATTCTATTACAACTTCTTAAGGGCTGCTGATTCTTTAACTCTGCTGCTTATAAATATTTCAAGGTTTCAAAAGTATACCTGGGCCTATTTTTGCCAAATTAGGTATGGTAACAGCATAACTACACATTCAAAGTCTTAAGGGAAAAATAGGGATCACAATGTTAGCAATTCTAATTTAAAATCTCCTTGATCATGACCCCGAAATCTATTAAGTGATTTTGTCTGAAAGAATTACTCTCAATTAATGTTCAGGATCTGGGTACACTACACAAGAAAAAAAAATCTTGGCTCCTGATTGAGTTTAAATGGAAATTGCATGAATCAATTAGACTTGGACAGGATGTGGGGAAGCAGTTTTTCAAAAGTAACAATAACATGTTTGAAAACAAGCAGGTATCAGGGAAAGAAAGGGAAAGCTGTGGAGAACAGGGATGAAGAAGCTTCCAATTGGAGCAAAGAAGTCATGGGTAACATGAGCAAAGCCTGTGTCGCTTGGCTTTCAGCTGCCTTTAGAAAACTTGGAATTTTTTACAAACTGATTCTCCTGCACCCAATTCAAAAAGAACCAGGAGTACATATCATGGTTATATACATATAAATATATGGTTATATTTTTATTACCATCTTCCCTGAAGTTTTTCTAAGATAAATCTGAGACACTCCAGACTTGCAGTATTTCACCTGGAAGGTGGTAACTCCCTGGCCCAAAAATTAACAACTTTAGGGATAAACAGCAATTGCAATGAAAGCAGAGTATTTTCCCATGGGGGCATTTTTCAAGGGAGGAGAGTAAAAAAGTGCTGCATCAAGGAGTAACAGAGCATCAGTGAATAGATTCTATTTGCTTGGTGTGCTAAACACATGACCAAGTCTTAGTAGGAGTTTTCCAACTCTCGGGAATATCTCTTGTGATGTGAAAATGGAGGTGACGCATGTCACAAGCCAAAAACTGCTGAAATTGAGACCTCAGCATGTATTAAAATATGACAGCTGAAAAGTAGGTTTCACACTCATATAATTGTGAATAAAGAGTTGAGTCAGCTCAGAGTTTTTTGTTAAGCAAAAGTTCCAGTTTCATACAAATATTAGTCACTAAATTGAGAAAGATATATTTATATAGCATTTTAGCAAGGAATAGTACAAAATATTATTTTATTATAAAAACACTGTGGATTATTTCTCAAAATGACATGGAAAATGTTATTAAAAAGTTTCTCCTTTTTGCAGACTTTCAACAGACTGAATAGGGTCTGTCTCATGTTTCTGAAAACTCTAAAATTATCTCATCTAGTGCATGTAAAAAAAGTAATAACAGAAACAGTGAATCAACATGTAGCAACATGGTAATTTCCTATCATCCTTCAAAAGACATTTACCTGACAGCTCGGATGGCTGTCTTGAATGTGGGGATCATATCTTCCATAGGGAAATCACTACTGTCACCTCTGTCTTCTGCCATGGGTTCCCCTGTTCCTGCATCTGCAAAGGAGGCCAAAAAACCAGATGTGTGAACATTTCACCACACAATATTTAGAAGGATGCATGGCTGAATAAAGCACTACATAAAGTAAGCGCAATTTAATAAAGAAATATCTCTTACAGCTTCTTTCACTGGTCAGGTCTTGAAAAGGATTTAATTATTTTGGGACAGCTGTAAGACACATTACTGAAGGATCTCCTTTCAGATTCTAGCATTTCTGAAACACTTGGAACTTGTCTTCCTTTCCAATAGATCTTTGCCCAAATTATTTTACAGAAAGGCTAAAATAGGTTGTAGAAGCCACAGGCCAAGTTCTCCTCTCACTGGCACTGCCTGGAGCTCATGTACCTTCATGAAGGAGAAAATCAAGTTCCTGATGGGGACACTCAGGCTACGTCCATGGTAGCATGTCCAGCATGCACTGGTCAGCTGGCACAAGAAAGGGGAACCTGCTATTTAAAGACCATTTTAATGTTATGGGCAAGAGGGAAATGTGTGCTCAGGGAAGCTGAGAGGAAAAATGCCCTATAATGTTGCATGGAGACCCAATGGAAACCTCTGAGGGGCAGCAGGCCTGGGGAGAGAGGGGGAGGGAAGAAGACATTGACTCTATAAAGGAGGTTTAATGAGATGGCAGTGAGAGTGTATTTGAGATGCCTGCACACAGGCTGTTGCAGGGCTGGATGCAGTCCAGGAGGGAGCTATCTCAGCTTGCTCATAAACCAAGCCATGATGGTGTGTGCTTTTTGGGGAATACATATTGACTGCCCTGTGTGCCCACTTTTTCAGGCCAAACAGGCTGAATCCAGCACTGGCTTTATCCCATGTCGATTGCTGGTTTTGAGAAGGGCTGGTGTTTGATTTCAAGCACTGTGTTGCTGTGACTCCAGGACTCCTTTTCTTGGGCTTCCCCAAACGTACTACATAAAAACAGGTATCAGACATGCTTGTCCCAGAAAGTCACAAACCTTCAACAGAATATGCAGAAGAACAAAGTAAAATGAGGAGAACAGGGGATGCATAGAAAGAAATCAACACAGATGGGCTACCTTCCGAGCTTTGCCAAAAAGCGTACGCTTTCATTCGGAACGCAGTGCGAAAACGCTCCTTATTATTCAAGACAACGTTCTTAGGCTCTTTTGAAGGACTTTCTTCAATGGCATCTACATTCAGAGGGGTAAATAGCTTTCCTTTAGTATTGGTACCACGAACCCGATCCAAGAGACCCAGCTTTTGGCTACAAAATAAGCAGAAGTAATCATTTTCCTCCTTTGTACAATATTAACTTGTTTTCATGATGCTTTAAGTATATAATGGGCTAAATAATTGTTTTGTATACAAGGACACTGCTGGGGCTACCATAATTATCAATGTCTTTGTAAGCAACAGTTAAGGTCCACAGATAATTAACTGCTTTTTATGAGCATTTTTTGGTATCAATGTTGAAAATGTTACCAGAGGGTCATGCTATCCTCTCCATGCAAGGTGCCACAGTGCTTCAGCTCACGTAGCACACCTGAAGCAGTAGTTTCATTACTAAGACATGAAACAACATTACTGCCATGGGCAGGGATGTCATTCACTAGACCAAGTTGCTCAGAGCCCCTTTCAGCTTGGCCTTAAAACACTTCCAAGGGTGGAGCATCCACAATGTCTCTGGGCAACTTGTTCCGGTGGTTCCAGTGGGGAATTTCTTCCTAATGTCTAACCTAAACCTGCACCCTTTCAGCTTGAGGCCATTCCTCCTCATCCTGTCACTACACACCTTTGTTAAAAGCACCTCTCCTGTCTTCTTGCAGTCTCCCTTTAGGTACTAGAACATGCTCTAAAGTCTCCTCAGAGCCATCTCTTATCCAAACATAACAACCTCAACTCTCTTATTTTATTCCTCAACTTTAAGGAATAAAATAAAGTCAGATGTGCTGGGAACCAGATAAATCACCAGCAAAATTCTGGGAAGGCTTTGCCAAGCACTGATTAGGGACATGGTAGGGCAGGATACCCTGTTTTCTCTCCACCTTGACCTAAAGGAGTTGTAGTGAAGTGACACATTTTATTCCTTTGATGATTACTTGCACTGTCTGTCCTCTTAGAGATTTACTGTCTGAATACATTTGTCCTTCAGTGACAACACAGAGATAGAATTTCATCTACCTGCCATTTTACCAGCACCATGAACCCTCCTGACAGCCTGATGACTGTAATGATCTTAAAGGTAATCACTAATGCCACTAAAGCAGAAACAGGAATAGGAATTTGACAGGGAGTTTATCAGCTTATATATGTTCTGATATCACTTTGTAGGTGATGGATGGTATAAATATTTGATTTGCTTGTTCACTTTGCTGCTGAAATATTTGTTAATTGCACATTTGTTAAAAACCCAAACAAGAAACAAACAAACAAAAACAAAAAACAAAAGAAAAGAAAACCAGGGCTAAGCCACAGGAAGAAAGCTTTTTAACACATTCCTGGGACAGCTCTAGGGAGAGGTGAATTGTGCACACATGAACAAAAGGCAGCTCTGTGTGGGACACCAGATCAAGTAAGTTGAGTGTGGGGAGGGAAGGGGCTGTTATAGCTGGCAGGGTTCTGAGAGCCACAGATGAGAGCAGAGCTGAAGGACCAACAGCCATGGTTACCAGAAGAAGGAATTAACAGGTGAGGGATCATTGCAGGATGCTCAGCTGCAACCACTAAACCTGCTGGCAGGAGAGGCAAGCGTGGGGAGGGTCCACAGTGCAAGGACATCGTGGCCAAGGATGGAGATGCATGTGCAGACCTTGCAAGTGGGAAAGAAGGATTTCACATTTCTATCTCAGAGCTCTGTCTGTTGCAGTATCCCCCACAATGAGTGTTATCTGAGCATTGAGCATCACAGCTGTTGCAAGTTTTTGAGCTGTTTTTGTTTGTTGGGGGTTTTTTTACGTGAATTACTGGGGTTCTCCTCTCTACTGTCTGTTTCTGATTAATAAATCTTTGACCGAGGGAGTAATGAAATATGGGATTCTCTATCAGAAAAGTTGCAAGCACTAAACCTTTGGGTACAGGAAGTTTTTACAACCCTTCTGATTTTTCTTTTTGCTATGAAAATACTTGTGAATGTAATTTCTGCAGCCTAGGAAGTCCAGACACTTGCCTCTCATTGCATGGATGAAGAGCACGTGTGCATGTGAGTACTGAAGTGGCAACTAATGAGGAGTTGGGTACAGAGACACAGATTTAGTCCTGATATATCAGCATTTCCAGGAGATAAAAGCATGGATTTGAGTGAAGAATTAGAACAGTCTAAATGAATATCTATATTTCTCAGACTATGCCCTAATGGCATTTCCTGAAGAATTCATGGCATGGGGGTAAGATGCACAAATCACAGACAAATATATGGAGTAAAAATTGGGGATTACTTCCTTTTTTGTAGAAAAAGATGAGATGTTGCTTCTTGACATTTGTGACAAATTACGTTTTGGAAAATCTCACATTTGAGCTAAAGAATTCTTTAAAAATTAAAAATTATTTAAAATGTAAAATGGCTTTAAAATATTTTAATGCAATTTAAAATGTAAAATAGCTTTAAAAATTATTTCCATAGTTTTTGCTTTTGGGGTGGAATCTTGATCTGCTTTGCCCACCAAGGTTCTGTCAACACTGATGTGATGGTGAGTGCAGAGTCCCAGCAAGTGATTTGTGTTCTACTAACGTAGGGAGATCCTGCACCCCCTTTTCTGCATCACTTTCCCTTCTCTGTTTGACCATATTTGAGAGCAGTACTGCTTGACAAGACAGATATTTGAATTCTCTGTGAAATTTGGATTCTTCAAGCACTCAGCTGCCATACTTAGGGCAAATATATACAGGAGAAGAAAACTAATGAGCAAGTTTGAAAAGGGCACAAAATATAAAGGTGAGGAAGTAAAAGTCAACAGAATGATTTGCATGTGGGATTTTTGGGCAGGTAAAGTAGGGAAAATAAATTCTCATGTCTCATTAATAAATCAAAAAGTCTGAAGGAGGAATTAATTTTGAGAAGTATGGTCAAGAAGAGTATAGAATCATGGCATATCACCACTGAAAAAAATTTATTCCAAAGAAATGCACCAAAAACTAGTTCAGTGATAACAGAGTCAGCCAGGCAATATAAACTGATGGACCTGAAGGTATTAGAGAGAGCAAGCTTGTGAGAGTGAGAATTTCTTTAATATAAAGAAAAAAAAGCAATGAGGCATGGACACCCTGGTGTTGATCTGTGCAGACTGAAGGAGACTGTAGAATAAGAAACGAGAAACCAAAGCAGTTTTAGGAGGAGGAGATATGTTCTGTGACAATAAAATGACAAGGTTTGTTTCTGGGTCTGAAAAAATTGTGCAACAGGCTTGTTGTGGAGATCAGCTTTCTCCACATGGGGGGATTACAGGTCACTGACAATAGATGATTGATAGATGAATCTCAAATGAAAGGAAGAGTCAAGTGGTCACATACTACACTGGCTTTGAGCAATGTACTAAATGTCACAAGATCTGAGTGAGTAACACTACAGAGAAACTCTCAAGAGAAAAATATCTTTAAGGAACAGAATCTGAAAGCCAAAGAAGCAGAAAAATAGGTGAGGCAAAAGACTGCTGTTGTTTATAAAAAGCCATTTAGTACTACACTAAAATAATACAGTTGTCATTACATGTGGTCTCTAACTCCCTCTCCAGAAACTTGCTTAATTCTTCAAAATATTTCTATCCAGCTGTCCCAAAGTTTGCCCCGTAAAACTCCTGTGATAACTGCCTTGCATACCAGAAAAAATGGAGGCATAAAGTGAAGTGAGGACCTGTAGGGATCAGACCAGAAGGAAAAGGGTCAGTAGATGATGCAAAGTATCCAAATATTAATCTAGTGACATTTTATAAGTATAGGACAGCAATATAAGCAAGATATGCAGAAATTTGTCATAGAGTTATGCAAGACTGGGACTGAACAAGATTTTATATCCTCTTCATAGATAAAATCAGAACAAAAATTCCTCTGCATTCAGCACAAAACCCTACTTATTTGCAGTGACATTTTCCTCTGCATATGTTGGCATGCTCATTTGTGGGATGGGGTTTTTTGGTGTTTTTTTCAGTGTGGTGGGGACCTAAGGCAGATAATACAAACTGAAAGTATTCCCAGATTTTCTTTTCAGAGTTTTGCAGCTATCCCTGCTGATAAGAGTCAGTTTAGGAAGAAACTATTCTCCAAAGACTGTTGTTTGAGCATCTTAGGTTTCTGAGCTAAAACTCTTCTGATCTTTTTTAAGCTGTTAAAGAAGTTAAACTTCCTATCTAAGACTACTCTTTAGACCCATTTCTATAATCAGTGGGAAGTCAGCAACTCTAACCAGTGAGTGGGGAGAGTGTGGTTCAGTTTGGGATGACTTTATACTTGGGGAATATTGTTATTGACTATGGAAAGATCTAGATGAGAAGTCATCCAAAAAGCAGATCTCTAGTCTAAGTTAAAGTTACCTGAGCTGAAGCCTTCCTCATTAATGGAATCCTGAAGATTAACCCTTGAAGTAACATTCAGATTCGTAACAGTATGTTTATGCAACAAATATAGACAATTGTGTTCTTATCTGGCAGCCAGAGCAGTAAAATCATCAGAAAATAATTCATCAGCTACACATCAAAATATTCAACCATGTGTTGTATACAAAAGAACCCCAAACAAAACCCAAGCTTCTTTCCAGATAACAACTGTCATCAGGAAAAAAAAAAAAATGGACTTTATTCTCATTTCCAAGGAATGAAATCTGGGTCTGCTGGGGTTTTATTTCCATGGATCTTTTTAAAAGTGCTGAGGAAACATTTGTTCTCATGACACGATCTCCTCAATAAAGCAGCATGCGCATGGCTCAGTCCCGGGCGTGAAGCATGCGCCGACCATCCTGCATGAGAGGGGCTAGGACAGTGGTTCCCACCCACAGCCTCATGCACTGCTGCTCCTCTTGCAGAATCCCCCTTCTGATGTTAGCTACTTTTCCTCACCTGGGAACAGTGGTCCCACTTCATTTGGCTTCCTTACGTTCAATAAAATATCATTCTCAATTTCCAGCACAGTTCCAGAAACTGGGGAGATACAAATCTATCCCAAGCATGCTGACAAAAGTCCAGGGTAGTTTCTCTGACTAGCTTGGATAAATCACCATTTTTTGTCTTGCATGCTATTAGATCCTCTCTCTCATGGGTTCCAAACCCTGTGTCCTTG